CACAGAAACAACGCTGTGCACCTTTAGCCATCTAATTTTTTTTTTTTTTTATCTTTTTGAGACATGGTATCGCTATGCAGTTCAGGCTGGCCTTGAGCTCACTTTGCAGCCCAGGCTGGTCTCGAACTCACAACGATCCCCCTGCCTCAGCCTCCCAAGTGCTGGGATTACAGGCATGAGCCACCATGTCCGGATTAGCCATCTGATTTTTGACAAGTGCTCAAACACTACAGGAAAGATAGCCTCTTTAATAAGTGACTCTGGGAAAGCTGGTTACCCATGTGTGGAAGAATAAAACTAGACCCATGTCTTCCCTTTACTAAAATCAAATCAAAATGGACCAAAGACCTCGATACGAGAATGAAACTACTAGAAGACAAAACGGGGAAGACCCTTGAAGACATAGCAAGGGCAAGGACTTCCTGAGCAGAACTCCATTAGTGCGAAGATTAGCACAGGCTTGTCACCAGAGGGACCAGGAATGGATGGGGGACAGAGAAATCGGCAAACATCCTCTGCACGCTGCACCTGTGCTCCCAGCCATCCACACACAGCCTTCTCGCCACACACACAGCTGGAGAAAGATTATTAATCAGAATCGCACAGTTACTCTGCCACCAAAACCCCACACACGCCCACTGCACCAGATGATGGCACAGAGCTCAAGGCTCAGCCCGAGGTGTGGGTGTTAGGCCAGAGTCTGGGCACTGCGGTCCTTTCAGGGAGTCCTGGAGAGCGGTAAGAAGTGAGGGTCGATGGGCCCAGACAGCAGGACCCAGAGGGTGAGCCTTTATGCCCCCTTGGGGTGTATAAAATCCAGTGAGTCTGCATTCATCCCCAAGATTCCCTTCCAGTTCCGGTCCTGGTCCTGGTCCTGGTCCCCGTCCCAGTTAAAGTTCCGGTTAGCATCCCGCCCCCGCCCCACCACAGCTGGGGGACGAGGTTGCCTCTGAACTCAAGCAAACAGTTCCTATCCCTATGAGAGAAGAGCAAGGATGCTGGGCGGAAATGGGCGATCTCTCGGTGTGGACATCTGGGCCTCGCTAAAGAGATGGAGACACTGCAGGAGGGCTGGCCAGTGGGGCAGGAGCTGGGCTGCCAGGCGACATTGGGGGAAAGGTCTCCCTCCATTCCGGGGAGCCCCAAGCTCACCGCACCAGTGTTGGGGCCACACACGCCATCCTTGCTCTGGTCCCATCCTGACCTTGCCTGAGGGCTGCGCTCTGATAGGGAGACTGCCTGGCCCAGGCCAGCAGCAAAGGGACACGCTGTGGTAGATGGCCCTGCAAAATCCCCGTGGGTTGACTGAGTCAGCATACGCTTCTCTCCGCGACCTGGTAGCCTTCCAAGGGTGACCAGAGAGGCCCTGCATCTCGAGGAGGCTTCTGCACATCCGATTTTCCAATTGCCACATCAATGGGAAACAGCTCTGGGAAACAGGCACTGACTCTCTAGAAGTTGCCACTTGAAGTGACATGTGTTGCTTCATGGATCCAAATAAACCACAGGTCCACGCCTAACGCCACCCAACTGCTTGAAAAGAGGCGAGCACAGGACTGGCTCAGTCCTCCCATTCACCAGTGGCAACTGCTGACTGCTTTTTCTCCCCAACTTTCTTCCTAGTAGCACCCCAGTCTTACCCAGAAAGACTGTGTGCAGCTAAATACGCTCCTCTTCCCACATGGCCCTGTGACTTGGGTTACTTAGGCTGGGCCTTGTTCTGGCCAATGAGATGGCACCACATAGGCACTCCCAAGATTGCTGGACACAACAACCTCTTGAGATATGGCAGCTGTGTTGTGAGCAGGAGGTTGGAAGCCTGGCTGGATTTGGCCCTGCTCCTTGGATCTCTCATTAGCCCAGAACCAGCACCCCCAAGCCAGGCTTTCCTTCCTGGGACGGCCAAAGCCCAAGAGAGCAGGGCCAAGGACCGCACATGTTCAGCCTCTGCTGGGGCCTCTCTGCTGATGTTCTAGGGGCTGGTGTAAGTCCCACGGCCAAGCTCAGCGGCTAGCGGGAAGCATGTCCCTCTGCGTTTCGAGGCGCAGAAGAACAATAAAGTACTAGAAAGAAGGGACTCAGGGCCAGTAATTTCCCATCTCACAAAATAGAATGGAAGACTGGCCTTCTGGGTGGCACAGCACTTTTCACAGATGTGCTTGCGGCGTGAAAACCCAGCCCTCTTGCTGGAACCCAAGAAAACAGCCCCATCTGCAAACTTAGGATGCATCTGAGAAGTCACAGACGGTGCAGGAGCGTCTGTCTCTAAACACCTCTCCCCATCCAGGCCAGCTCCAGCCCGATTCCCCAGCCCAGTGGAAAGAGCCAGAAGCCACACGCTGCTCCTCTGTCTAGAAAGTGCACCTCCTGCCTCCTGCCATCTCGGTCCCGAGGTGGAGATTAGACCTGGGCAAACCGGGCAACTAACTGGGCAGAATGTGTTCAAAGGCACAAACTTATCCTGCACACACATGCAGGACACAGGACTCAAATGCATCCACAGCTCCTCAGCGCTGTGCACAAAACCAGCCAGAAAGTGATACTTTCTTCTTCTCTACACAGCCCGAGCTGGCCTCAAACTCACACTAAGCCTTCTGCCTCAAGGCCTCCTAGGTGCTGGATTACAGACATGTGCCACCACGGCCAGCCTGATGCTTCCCGTTCCCCATCCGGATCTGGTGCTGTGTGCGGACCCATGCAAAGAGTGTGACTGTCGTAAACCCTTCATCTGGCAGCCAAGTGAGTCTTTCACCAGGGCAATTTAAATCTGGGCCCCGGCCCAGTGAGCTTTTGATAGGACCACTGTCCTGGTGCCTTATTTGCATGAGGGAGAAGCCAGTCCGCCAGTCTGGGAATTCTGGTACAGGAGGCCCCCTCTCCCCTACCCCCAGGGCTGCTGTGAGTCTGTTCCCTGGCCTGCTACGACCCTGCAGAGCAGAGTGCTTTTCCCTTTCAGTAAGCAAACACCCTCGATACCTTCTCTGTGTGTCTTGTCCAATTCTTTGCTCAAGACACCAAGGACCTAGAAGAATCCCTCAAGACCCTCCGTCCAGTGACATCCTCTGACCAGGACCTTGGATCAGGGTGAGAGATGACCCCTGCTATTGCGTGGATGCGGCTTCTCCCACAAAGGCTCATGGACAGCGGGCTTGCCTTGGAGGGGCAGGGCCTGCTGGAAGGTAATTAGGTTACGAGAGCTGCCTGCCACAAACAGCTCGATGCCATCTCTCTGATGGGCCAGGCCACCTGGGACTGCATTCAGTCTCCAGAAAGTGGGTGGTGATAAGCAAGGGCACCCCGTGTGGGGTCCCCCCTTCCACCCATCTGCCACGTTGCCACACAGCCATGGAGCCTTTGCCAGCACCGTGGACGCAGCAGTGCTCAGCCTCCCAGTGACCAGAATCACCGGCTGAGCCAGGCAAAGGCCAAAGGCAGTTCCCTGTCACACCCAGAGCTGCTCTCCAGCCCCTCTGGCTCTGGGCCCCCAGGGATGGAAAGCAAGCTCTGAGAGTCCCCGGAGGCCAACACTCCCTGGGGCCATGTCGCAGTCTAGCCCTGCCAGAGCAGCGTGGGGAACACTCTGCCCCACACTCAGCCGTCTCTCTCCCTGAGGCCGATGTCCAGCTGGGTCTCAGCCACCTTGGAAAATCCCCCTCTCCCTCTGTCCCCACTCTTTGGAGTTTGACGGCAAGCGCCTTCATGTCTTGGGAACACTGTCTGCTGACATCCTGAGAGCGAAGACTTTGCCAGCAGCCCCCAAGGATGTGTTCACATGCGGTGCCAGGAGCGGTGGGGGAGGCTTCGGGACAGAAAGAGGGAGAAAGAACAGGGCAGAGCTGAATCCCCAAGAGGCAGCAGTGTGCCCAGGGCCAGTGCTGGGCTCCGTCCTGGCACCCTGGGAGGCTGTCCCTAGAAGGAGCCAGCATGGTGGAGGGTGAACAGGAGGGCCCTGTGGGGGCCACTCCCTCCAAGCTCTTCCAAAGAGGGACTTCTGTTAGTCAGCTTTACATCACTGTGACAAAATACCAGAGATAAACAACTCATAGTGGCAAGGGGGTGTTTGTTTTGGCTCATGATTCAAAGGTGTCTGTCCATAGCTGTGTCCACTGTTTTGGAGCCTGGTGCAAGGCAGAACAGCATGGGAGAACACCTGAGCCGCCAGCTTGATGGTGCCCAGGAAGCAAGGAAAGTCCAGGAAGGGGCAGGATCCCACTGTGTCTTCTGGGCCACACTCCCAGGGGATTGCTGTTCTTCCACTAGGCTCCGCCTCTTAAAGGTACCGCTACCTCTCCACTGGGCTACAGCCTGGGGACCGAGCCTTGGACACGTGGGCCTTTCTCCACCATCCCGCCCAGCCTTACCCCTGTGGGCGGACCCTGGAGATGCCAATATCCATGCCCATGGAGGTGCCAGTCTGCTGGGGCGAGAGGAGTGGAGTGGCAGCCACAGAATCTTGTGACCAGCCTGGTGGCTGCAGGGACGGTGAGACCTAGCAGAGGTGACCACAGCTTCATGGAGAGGGAGCTGGAAGTTCATTCCAAAGGCTGAGCATGGACATGGAAGGCGGAGGGGCACCAGCGATGCCAGGTGTGGTGAGAGGGGCCTAGCACAGTGGCAGAGCTTCCAGAGCAGCTGCACCAGTCTGGGCACTGAGCCATGCAGAAGGATAGTGGGAGCCTTGAGATATAAGCTGGGAAGGGCACAGGATCAAATCCAGGGAGCCCAGAAATTTCTAGGCCAATGCAGTGCCATAGGCAAGGGACTGTGGGTGGGTGGGGGTCTGGCTGAGAGTTCTGGCAGTGACACATGAACAGAAGATCTGGCAGGACATGGTGACCTGATGTCAGAGGGGGAGGCTGAGGAGAAAGATGGGGCCCTGGCAAGACAGGATGGCCACTGTGGGTGTGGTCCTTCCTGACTGGCCACAAGGCATTTCCTTTCCCAAGGGAACCCACTCCCTCCCCGTGCCCAGAGCAAACCAGGGCAGCGCAGGCTGACCACAGTGGTATGGGCGGGGTGTCAATGTCCTGGGGGTACAATCAGGCCCCAGCTCAGCACAGCCAGAGAGACGGGCCAGGAAAGCTTCAGGGTCTCAAGGAAGGGGACACACTGTGCGGCTGGTCCTGCTGATTGGGGGTATCACTGGGGGGCTTCTGCAGTTGCTGCTCTTGGTGAGGTGAGCTGCTGCCTGTGGAGGTTTTGTGCCACCATCACCTATGAGGAGCTGCCAGAGTCTCCTGCCACAGCCACGAGTGGACCAGGGGACAGGCTCTGCCCGCCGCTCCCTGGGGCCAGCTGGGCAGGTGAGTTGGGGTGGAACTCAGCTGGCCTTTCTCTAGACTCCCCGGGGAGTCCTGGGCAGGGGTGTCCGTGAGGGCAGTGGGAAGAAAAGTTGTGCTGTGGATCCCCCACCCAGCTGTCTGCTGCTGTGGGCCACACAGACAAATTCCAGACACTTCACCCAGGCTGGGGGCAGGCATCGAGCAGCTGGTGTTTAGGTCATTAAGGCTCAGAGGACGAAAGTGACAGGTCCAGCGGCACCTCTAGGAAGAGGCAGAACAGAAGTTCGAAGCAGCTTCCCAGGGTTATGGACAGAGTACCACTGGCTGTGTTTGTGTGTGGAGGGCAGGGTGAGCCTGCCTGGTCGTGTGTGCGTGTGCACACACATGTGCCCAGTGTGGGCTTTTTTCCCACAGTCCCTGCATCGAGCCCCATGCCAAACAGAGGCCACACATTAACCTGTCACCATTTGTCATTTCCCTGCCACTGGACGGGCCACTGGCTACACCGTTCGTGGTGCCCCCTTCCCTCCGAGCCCAAGACTGGCTGCCCCTGCCCCATAGAGCAGGGGCTCAGGTGCTGCAGGACCCCGCCCAGCTCCAGAGCTCTTTGGCTGCACCCGGGGGCAGCTGTGGTGAGTGCTCCCACAAGGCAGGCCTGGGGCGGAGGATCCTGTGGTCCCCCTGCTGTCCAGCCTATGGTGGGCACTGGTGTGGTTTCAGAATTCAACCTCCCCCTCTAGGGGGAGAACTATCACTCCCATCTTACACACTGGCAAACTGAGGCAGCGACAGGACGGGGATTCAAACCCAGGCCTGCCCAGATGTGGCCCATGTGCTGGGCCCTGCGGAGGGACGGGTCGGCTGGCGATCTCAGGGGAGGGGTTCCTCTCTGCCCTGGAGATCTCCCCAGGAGCCAGGCAGTCCTCTGCATGGGCCTGCTGATTGGAGGAAGAAGGAAAAGGCACTGTTTGGTCACTGAGTGCCTGGAAGCAGCCGGGACCAGCAGGGATGGGGTGGATCAGAAGGGAAGGGCATGCAGGGCGGGGTGGTCTGGGCTCAATTAGACCCCCACCCTGTCCCTGCCATGCCTGTGGCTCAGAAGGCTCAGTGGGGAAAGGGGAGCAGGGCGAGGGGTTCGACTGGCTGAGCCCAGAGTTTGGGGTGTGCCCAGAACTTGGCGCCAGCTCCCACACCCGGTCTTTCCCCAAACACCAGACTCCACAGCCCCTCTGTTGTAGAAGATGCCTGTGTGCTGAGGACCATCAACCCCAAGCTGTACCAGCTTGTGGAAGACGGTGAGACCCACTTCCCCGCGGGCTGCCTGGGCCGGCTCTGTTCTCCTTGGAGTAAGAGCCAGACCCAGCCGCTGCTTGTGGGCCTGATCAAGGCATGGCCCTCATGAGGCTCCACCTGATGCCTGCCTGACGAGCGGTGCTTCCTCCAGTCCAGGATCAGATGGAAAACCATCCAACCCACAGTTCGAGGAGACCTTTGTCTTCCAGGTACAGCTCTGAGCTGGTGTGCGCACAGGACGGCCTGACTCAGGCATCGCTGGGGCCTTGCAACCCGGGACAGAGCTGCATGCGGTTTCTGGCAAGGCTGCCCAAGGATGAGAGGGTGTTCTGCTTGGGGACACCCTGGGCCTCTTGAGTAGGGCAGACTTGCCACCTTGGGGTGGATGTGGCACCTTTGTTGAAGGCCATGGGGCACCTGGCCTGCTGGGCCTGGGAGTCTGAGCAGGTGACAGGGCCCTTAGGTGACCGGAAACCGGCGTCAAGAGCTGCTGAGAGGCTTTGGACAAACACTTTCTCAAGACCTGTGTAGCAGCAGCCTGGGCGGTCAGGAGAGGCCATCGGGTTCTGATACAGTCGGCTGCTGAGACCAGAGCCATGCTCTGGGGGCTGGGAAGAGAGGCAGCCTCTGACTGATCCCTGCCTCCATGCCAACACCCAGGGCCAAGGCTGTGAGGATTTACAGGTGAATCTGGGCTTCCTGGGACATCGGGACCACGCTGAGAGCCTCAGGACAGACACGGCACCTGCCCAGGTCTCTTCTCACCTCATTCCACACCCACTGGTCCCACCCCGACTCCGTCCTGGCCTCTCTGGGCTTTGGGGGGGGGGGCAGAAGGAAAAGGGCCAGAGAAGAAAGTCAGGGTCTTAGTTACTTTTCTTGTTGCTGAGACAAAACACCTGATGCCCACAGGTTAAAGGAGGAAAGGTTCATTTCAGTGCCGTTTGTAGAGGTTTCAGTCCGTAATCAGCTGGCTCCAAAGCAGGTTTTTTCTGCCCCTTTTATCCCAAACAGGTTTAGAAACTTTTGGGATGGTGCCACCCCACCTGGGTTAGAGCCTCTGCCTTCAGCAAATCCATTCAAGCACACCAGAACTGTGCTAATTCCTCAGTTTGCCAGTGCGTAAGATGGGAATGATTTAGTATCGCACACCCTTAATCTCAGCATCACGGACCCTATACCCAGCTGGCTCTGAAAAGCCCCATCTGCGAGTGTATGAGACTTTGGGGGGACATCTAGATATAAGCCATAACAGGCAGTGTGAGTCAGATGCTGCGGCTGGGCTTCTATGGCCCGGAGAGGAAGGACACTGAGCAGGTTCTGAAGCAGAAGCCTGGGTCTGCCTTTCTGACACCGCAGGTCCCCAGAGCACTCCAAGTAACAAGGCTCTGTCACTTCCCCCAGGGGATGCAGCAAGGAAGGTGCTCCTGAGCTTCCCCAAAAGTACTCACGTCCAGAGGATCACCCATCTTGCACCTGCCCCAACCCTGACCCCGCCAAGTCTCCCCCAGGTGTCAGGCAAGAGCATCACCCAGAGGGTGCTGCGGGTCTCAGAGTACCACGTGGACAGGCAGAGGCGGCTCCAGCTGCTGGGCCAGGTGCTGGTCCCTGTGAAGAGCAAGACCCTGGCAAGCAACAGGCACCACCTCATTTGGAGAGACCTGAGAGCCTGGAGTGGAGGCCACCAGCTATGGAACACCAAGGGGCAGCACTGTGTGGGCAGCTGGCAGATATGCTCTGGGCCCAGAGGTACCTGCTGGCCACTACACACCAGTCTTCAGGAGCGGCCCCGGCAGGAGGCCCAACCCCAAGCTGCAGGACACAAAGCAGGGTGGCCGGCCTGGGAGCTGGTCCACCCTGGTTCACACTGTTTAGCGTCCTGGAAAATGCACATTTTCCAGGTCCCCACACCTGTGCAAGGTGACAACTCACACCCACACTGAGCCAGTTAGACCACTCTTCCCCCAGCCCCAGAAGCACCCAGGGGGCTCTAATAGACTTTGGAATTCTACAGCCTGGGTGTGAACCCCTGGCTCTGGTCCACACAGCAGGCTGAGAATCACTTAACCAAAACACCGGGGACCAGCAAGATTTCAGATTTGGGGGTTTGTCAGATTTCGAAGTATTTGCAAATACATCATGAAGTATGTTGGGGATGGTACCAAAGCCTAACAAAACCCATCTGTCTCATCTGCACTTTATATATCTACATTCAATGCTTAGTATAATTTTGTGCATGAAACAAACTTTCAAGGTATGGAAATTTCCACTTGGTTCTCTAAAGGTTGTGGCCATCGGTGCTGCTTAGATTCCTGGTCTTCAGATCAGAGACACTGAGCCTGTGCTGCATGAGTCCCTTTGGCTGTCTAGACCTCAGTTTCCGCATCTGTAATGTGGGCGCCAGAATCAAAGGGGACCGTGGCTGTGTCACGTGCACCCGGGTGCGACAGCTCAGAGTGGGGAGGGAGAGGCCCATGGCCCCACTGCCCATCAGCACCTCCGCGTTGGTGTCCCCAGGCTCCCTCAGTCAGAGATCGGTGACCTGCAGTTCTGCCTGAGCTGAGGGTCATGGTGCTGCGGGCCGAGGGCCTCTGGCTCCAGGAGGACAGGAGCGTTGCCAGTGAGTCTCTCTCCCCACCTCCCCAACCAGCCGACTCCTGCTTGGGCATCAGGTGCCACTCCGGGCAAGACATCCCAGAACAAGAAACCTGTTCTGCAGTGAGCCCGGTGTCCCCTCCTGGCTCTAAGCAGCTCAAGGCCACGCCCTGCCCTCCTGTTGCCCAAGGCAGCCCCTCCGCCTAGTGTTTCCTGCCCACCTCTGCTGACACCTACCCCTGGGCCAAGTCCACGCCCAGAGGGTGAGGCCAAACCTGCCGCCCCTGGGGAGGCCCCAGTGCCACTCCTGGTGCACCTTGCTGCCCGGCCTCTGGGAACACAGGCATGGGGAGTGGTCAGCGCAGGAGCTGTTCTGGGCAGGCTGGGCCTTGCCTGTGTGCACTGTGTCCAGCTCTGCATGGTGTGAGCCTTGGCTGATCCTGGGGGTGATGCGCTGTGCTTTCCGGGTCACCTCAATGAACAGCAGTTAGCTCCAGCAGCTCCCACTCTGGGCAAAAAAGGGTTTTCTCGTTCATGTCTGTGTATTTTCAACCCAGTCCACACCCCAGTCGTTTCTAGGGCTTCATGACACACACGTCGTACGTCGTTACATCTGTATTTCGTCGTTACATCTGTATTTCTGGAGAGTGAGCTCCCAAAATGGAACTGTTTCTACCTCAGCCAGGGACCCGGTAGTTACCAACCACTCCCTGACCAAGAGTAGCCACTGCAGGGACCCTGGAGAAGATGGTAAGTGTCCTTTTTGCAGGACAGCATGGCTGATGTCCCTAGCTCCTCCTTGAAAAATCTATGGGACAGAAGACTAGCAGATTGTTTGCTCTGCTGTGGAGAAAAACCAGGCGGCTATATGAGGCCTCACAGATGGGCAGGACAGTAAATACATGGACAGTACTTCCTGGGCCATCTTGAAACGTATCTGCATGTGACCGAGCAGGAAGAAGCCCTCTGTGCCTCCATAAAACATTTTAGCATAAGCTGCTCAATTTCCACCCAGAAAAGTACTGTAATTTGACTGGATTGCGTTGAATACAGTGGATCCTGGACTTCGGGGCTCAGTTTGTTCCCGAGGGCTGGTAATAGCTCAGGTTGTCAGCTGAGGCCTCGGGCTCCTCTCTGCAGTCCCAAAGTCCCTCTCCTGTGCACAGCAGACCTCAGTGTCCTCAGAGAGACCTTAGCCCAGGATTTTACAGTTAAGGACAGTCTCCTCTCATCCAAATTCTCGTTTCTATCACAAGTGCTATTAAATTTTATGAAGTGTTCTTCTTGTATCTTTTGAGATAGTATTTTCTCCTTTATCTTTAATGTGATGACTTATAGTGATCAAATTTTGAGTGTCAAGCCAAATTTATTATTTTTTCCCCAAACTTACATTATTGTAATGGACACCAGTTATGTCTGTCTGTCTGTGTCTCTCTTTCTCATACACACACACACACACACACACACACACACACACACGCACACCACAGATGCTTGAAATCTTTAAAGTTTGCATTTATTTATGTTGGAGGATTTTTTTTTTCTGGTGATACTAGGAATTGTAGCCAAGAGTTTTTCCAGCCATTTGTTTGTTTGTTTGTTTGGTTGGTTGGTTGGTTGTTTTTAAGACAGAGTCTTACTAAATCACTAGGATGTCCAGGCTGAATTCAAACTTAGGATCCTCCTGCCTCAGCCTTCCGAGTGCTGAGATTACAGGCCTTTCCCAGCACACCTGGCTTAGGTTTTCACAGTTGACAGGCATGCTCATGAGAGATTTTTCCATGGTATTTTAGTCTACTGATCAAATGCAAGCATTTGACTCTGTGTTTTGCACTTATACAAATATTTTATGCTTTTCCATTGGTGAAGTTTGTTAATCAGATTGATCAGATCAACTGTCTTTACTGATTTTTTTTTTGTCTGCCTTTCTATTATTTAGCAATGTTAAAACCCTCCCATGTGATTGTGGGAAGAGAACTGCTCACCCATTTCTCCTTTCAGTTTTGTTGAATTTTATGTAGCTTGAGGCTGTGTTATTAGGCTCATACTCATTTAAAACTGAATTTTTTTCTGGCAGAGCGAACCCACTTACAATGGTATGTTTATTCCCTTAGTTTTTCAACACCCTCGTGTTCCTCTAACTACAGTGTCTCCAAAGTATGGTCTCCAAAGCAAGTCCTTGAGCCTCTGTGTCTGTGTGTGTGGTACATTTACATTTAATATAATTCTAGGTATCATGTGTTCACAGGTACCACCTTGCTAATTTTGCATTTCCCTCCCTAGTAAAGTTTCTTTTTCTCTCCTCTGCTGCCTACCTTTGGATTAATGGGGTTTTGGGGATTATAGGCATGCACACCACACTGGGCTTAGCTTGGTTTTTGTTTTTGTTTTTTTATTTAAGGAGAAAAAGAAAAAAAAACAGAAAAAGGGTACAAGTTATACAGAATTTCAGAAAAAGTAAACAGTAGGAAATCACTAGTTAATAGATTATATATTGTCATCTTAGAAATAGTTGTTCAAGTTATAAAATTAAAGCATATAGAGTGGACATTCAAACAGTGAGACTGCAAACAGTTCTGTTCAATGATCCAACAAAATTCAGTAATATCATTGTCTATTTTATACACTTAAATATACATGCAGTTATATCCTTTAGAGCACTTTCTTTTCCTCTCTTTTGTACAATGACAATTGCACATTTTGGGTTTTATTACTCCCACAGTTCTTATTACTTTTTTTTAAGAGAATAAAACCAAACGTGACATAACAAAACAGAGTCAGTCAAATCAAAAGGATGGACATAATACATACTGTAAAAACAGAATACAAGGTGATCAACATTGGTTACCATAATGCTTCTTGCTATCTTAAAAAGAATTGCATATATCATCAGTTATAATAAAATTGAACAAAACAGTAAAGAACAAAACCAATAAAACCAAAACATTGGAGACATTATAGGACTTCAAAAGAAGACAATAGTCAGACCAGAATGGACGTCATAGTGAATCTTATTGTCTTCACAGTTGTTGCCTATACTCTCAAACTTGGTAGTATCAAAGCTTGGGGTTTTTATTCCACCTCTCTAACCATGAGTTGTGACTTACCCATGTGTTATTCCTCTAATGGTTCTCCCAGAGATTACTATTTGTGAGATATATATATAGTTTTGGTTTTGGTTTTTTGAGGCAGGGTCTTGCTATGCAGTTCAGGTTCACTTTGTATCCCAGACTGGTCTCGAACTTGCAACAATCCTCCTGCCTCAGTGCTGGGCTTACAGGAGTGCACCACCACGCCCGCTGTGTCTATGACTTATTAGCATCTAATACAATTTTATTTTTTAATCCCTTATCAGTGCCTTATCTCACAACACACAGTGTCTAATTACTTGCCTTCTACGTTGCTCTGTTCTATACAATATTCATTTATCCATCATGTTTTAGACCCAATAAAACCCAATATCACCATCATGTCCAATCAAGATACATTGAAATTCAACCACATCTTTACTCCTTGCTGGTTTTTTATCCTTTCCTATTTTTCTGTGGTTCTATCTTATGTCAATTTCCTTCCATCTGAGAGAGAATTCCTTTTAGTGCATCTTGCAGTGCAGACTACTGACAGCACATTTTCTTGGTTTTGATTTTTTTATAGAAATGTCCATTTCAAATCACTTTTAAAGGATTTTTCGTGGGTGTGGAATTTTGGGTCATCTTTTCAGCCGTTTAAAAGTGGCATCCGGAGGCTGGGCATGGTGGTTCATGCCTGTAATCCCAGCACTCGGGAGGCTGAGGCAGGAGGATCGTTGCGAGTTCGAGACCAGCCTGGGCTACACAGTGAGCTCAAGGCCGGCCTGAACTGCACAGCGGAACCTTGTCTCAGTGAGCCCAAAAAAACAAAGTGGCATCCGGTATCTTCTGTCTTCTGTTAGCAGGCCATGGTCAGTGCTGTGGTCAGTGCTAGGAGAACCTGTGTCTCCTGCTCACCTGTAACTGCCCTCAAGGGCTTCATTTCACCCTTGGTGTCCATCAGTCTGAGTATGGAGGGCCCTGGATGGACTTTACTTCCTATTTATCCTGCGTGGGGGACATGGAGCTTCATCAGTGTTGGACAGCACACACAGCCTGATCTTCGCTGTGTCCGCCTCGGCGCTGTTTAACTGTTCCTTACCCTTCCGTCCTCTTCTCAGACTCCAGTTCCTGTACCTCCGAGCTGCTCACTGTCCCCAAGTCTCTTGGGTTCTTTCTGTATTTTCCACACGCTGTCTCTGTGCTGTAGCCTGGAGTTGTTTCACGTCCCAGGTTAACAGCTCAATAAATCCTTCTTGTGCTAAGTGTACTTAACTCACGCACTGAATTCTTAACTTCAGTCACTACGTCTGCGGGTTCTAACTTTCCATGTGACTCTTTCTGATGACTCCCAGCTCTCTAACAAAAGCATTGTGTTTTTTCCCACCAGGTCTGTGTCTGATAACATCACCATCTGGGTCATTATTGTGTGTGCGTTTTCATTCTGTCTTTCCTGGCTTGCTTGAGCATTCATGGTCCAGTGCTCATGAGCATGACCCATCTTGGGGCCTCCATCGAGGACGTCAGCAGAGTGTCTTCCTATGGGACGGCTCACCACGTCCTCTTGCGGATGGAGTGCAGAGGTCCTCTGAGTGCAGTCTGCACTGAACTCACCAGAGTCTGGGCGCTCTCTGCCTCTGGCTTGCCCCTGCTCCTGGAGTTCAGCCCTGCAAGGATCCCAGCTGGGAGCCCAGTGTATTCACCAGCCTTCTCTCCCGCTGTGGGCCCCAAACTCTGGATTATTTTAGTAATCCTGCAAATACTTCTCAGGGGAACCCCTGTCCCCCTCTTCTCTGACATCTTTGCTGTTTCAAGGCCCCTCCAGGGCAACCTCAGTCTCCAGGTTCTGATCTCCCCAGGTCGGGAGACACTGCTGCCTCTGCTGTCTAGCAGAAGTGCTAGGCTCTTAGCCAGAACTAGAGAGGTTCCTGGAGGGAACTAGCGACTTTCCTGCAGAAAGTCTCCTCCCTGCCTGGCTCTCCTTCTTCTGAGGCCGTGGCCCTTCCAGGGCTTTCAACTGGGCAGCTCCCGGATGACTTGAAGGAAAGGCTGTCTGTAGCTTATTCGATCTCCGCAGGAAAAGAATTCTTTCCCCACCCAAATAATTCTCAGTGGAGGGCAGTTTGTACAAGGAATCAGCCACACTGTTCTTGGGAAGGTTGGCGAAGCCAAAGGGGTAAAAGGTGCTGTGTCAGTCAGCTATTTGGATAGCGATGGTGCATAACAAACCATCACAAACGCTCCACACACAGCAGCACATTCATGCCTCCTGCACCCACGGCTGGCTTGGTTGAGCTAAGGCAGGTAACCGGATCCCAAGCTGAGTCAGGCTGGGCTCCTAACAGCCTGCTCCTTGCCTGTTCATTCTGAGCACAGCAGCCGCCCAGGGAGAGCTCTGTTCATGGCAAAGGCAGGAGCACAAGCAGGTGAACCTCGACAAGCAAACGCATGTCTGGCTCTGCTTGTGTCATGGCGCCCGATGTTCATTAGCCAGAGGAAGTCACAGAGCCAACCTGCAAGCAAAGGCGAAGAAGTGAACTGCGTCTTTTTGTGAGAGGAGCTGGCAGGCCGCGTCATATGGACTCGGCTGCAGGCAGGGGTGCGGAACTGGAGCGGTGGAATTCCACCCACCATCCTGATGTTCCCCGAGGACAGGAACACGAGGCCAGGCTGTGCCTGGGTGTCACCAAGGGAATCCCCTACCCCCGCTGTGCAGGCGCAGTCGGCCCTGCTGCCAATCCTGTAACGATGCCAGGCTGCCATTGATGCGGCCATGGGCCAGGTATATTTTTTCCCTTATTTTCATTGTAGAATTCCTCATCCCAATCACTGTAAAAAACCGGAGCAACCTGGCAGCCGTAATTATCAGAGGTAAAGGAAGAAATGACAGTTGCACCATCTGGCTGATCTCTGGCCTCACCCGAGCACGGGGTCTCTGCTCATGAGTCTGGGGAGACCACAGATGTGGCACTCAGCAGCGCCTGGTATGCAGGGCCTCGGGGTTCCACCCCATTCCCATCACAAAAGGGAGATAAACAAAAGGTAATAAAACTCTTCTCAGGGGGCGGGATGGTGCTGTGTACCCGGACACACATGGCAGGGACAAACCAAGGTCACCGGGCCAGTGCAGTATAGAAGACAGCCACAGTACAGGAGGCGGAAGGTTCACACCAGGTTCACCTAGAGCCCCCACCACTCCCTTTATCCTCCAACCCGGGGAATGGAAGCAGGGCCTGGCATCCTTCCGTCAGGGCTGTGGCCAGGCCAGCTGGGGAGAGGAGTAGGCCACACGGACTGAAGCAGACACACAGGTGACTGCTTATGACTGACAACTGTGAGGGCTGAACAGAGCCTGTTTTGAACGAGTCACAGGAGAAACCTTTTGTTATCTAACAGTGATCAAAGCAGTTACGGATTGTTGTAGCTTGGCATAACTGATGCCATCTTGTGTCCTGCATTTGACCCAAAAGAGAAATTACTCAGGGTACAAGTCCCATGAGAAAATCAGAATGAGCAGCACCCACAAGAGAAAAATTAATCTGCTCAACAAAGCAGCAGGATACAGGTGTCAGCCAAAATTAATGTAGGTTCCCAGCTAAATTGTTTCCAACAGGATGTCTTTCTGTGGTTTTCTGTTTTAAATGCTCTGTAACTTTCCAGTTCAGGGCCACTCAGTGGGACTCTGAAACAGGGGTCTCTATGCAAGTGGTCCTGAGCTCAGCTAATAAAATTCCAAATTCATCAGCTTGGCTGCTTGGATTCCTATATTGTTCACGAACCCACTTCAGAACCAAGAAAAGCCCCAGAACTTGCCCTAGATTTTATGCACAGAGAGCAGGTTTGGTTTCTCCAGGCAGGGGCTCCCTGTGTAGTTCAGGCTGGTCTCCAAGATGCTGGCAGGGGCAGCTGGGATTGGAATCACACTCCTGATGTCCACATATGCCCTCACGGTGAAGACCTGCGGACACAGCCTGTCAGGTGGGGTCTCCAAGGGCCCCAGGTGCCCTCCAACTGCAGTCTGTTCCCTCCGCTCTGGCCCTTCCCCACCTCTTTCCTGCAAATCGCTTGTTCTCCACAGAGGGAGGGGCAATCTGTCTCTACCGTTTAAAAAAATTATCGGGCTGGGGATTTAGCTCAGCGGCATAAGCACCTGCCTTGCAAGCACAGGTCGTGAGTTCAATAGCTGATACTGGTAAAAAAAAAAAAAAAAAAAAAAGACTAAAAAATTACCAGTACCTGTTTGCAGCAGTGTTTACATTCTGAAGTGGGCACTTTAGGCCTTAACTCTCTTTCTCTCCCTGCAAAAGATCTGTCTCCATTTCTTATTGCTTATGCTATGTTTTTAAACGATTTATACTTTGGGTTTCTCATGTACTAGACTTTTGAGTTTCTTTCACTTACCATAGTGGTCTCAAGGTGCCGATCTACTCGCATCTGTTTGCTGATTGCCACACTGCGGGGGCGGCACAGCAGGAGTGGGGGCGCCCGGAGTCCCCAGCAGGAGGGTGCGGGGGAGGAGCGGGCCGCCAGGTAGCCCCGGGAAGGGCGCGGGAAGGAGCGCAGCGCCCTCTACCGTCCAGCGTCGGCCTCGCCGAGGAAACAAGGCCCTGGTGGCTCCTGCGGACACCTGGCCGGCCTGGTGGCCGGGGATGGACGGAGCTGTGAGGCTGCCCGCCGTGTTTCCCAGGACCCTACTCCCTGCCTTCAATGGCGAGATTTCTTCTGGTGCATGGCACACCTACTCACGTGCGCCATGCATCAGACTCGTACCTAGAGATGTGCACATGCTCAGTGGAAAGACCGCCTAATCACTATCCGCAGGGACTGGGCAGATCTGCCCACCCGGAACTAGCTGGGGCCATTGAGCGGGCTGGACCGCTGGTCTCATAAACCCCTGTGTCTGTCAAAGCTCAGCAAGCTGCCGCTATCCGGCCTCGGCGTCACTGTGTATATGTTCAAATTCGGTTTCTGTTTAATTCCAGGCAAAATAATCTGATGGATTGTTTGAGTCTGGCGTAATCAGGGTCTGCTACGAAATCCAAGCAGACAGAAAGGCGGGAGGTCCTGAGGGGGACATCAGGGTGAGCGGGGCTGCCGCCCAAAAGCCGCGCTGTGCGGCCTTAGGTTCTGTGTTCGAAACCGTTTCGCTCCATATTTCATCAAAACTGATCTTTTCATAGGTAATTTTTTTAAGTGCTGGGTATCGAACCCAGGGCCTTGCACATGCCAGACAAGTGTGCTATCACTAGCCGGGCATGGTGGCTCACACTTGTAATCCCAGCACTCGGGAGGCTGAGGCAGGAGGACTGCTGTGAGTTCAAGGCCATCCTGGGCTACATGGGGAGTTTGAGGCCAGCCTGAATTGCATAGCAAAACGTTGTCTAAAAAAATCAAAAATACATTTTTAATATTGGGATATTGCTCAGTGATAGGGCATTTGCCTAGGGTTTAATCTCCAGCACAGCCAAACAAAATGATGATGAAAACACACGGGGAGGCTGGATTTGGCTGGTCCAGGCTGGATAGTGCTAAATACATTTAATTTTTCAGTTGAAATATTGCAACAAATCCCCTTAGCATGCACCATGAATCCATGTTAATCAGAACCAAATAAAACCCAGGCCCTAATTCTCCATGTAGGGTAACAGCTATACCATATGAGCAAGATTCTGCCAGACAGAATGATCGCAGTGTGACACACGCTGGACACATGTGTGAGCTGTCCGGCCAGGTCACGTTCGGAGATGCTGCCAACACACTCCCTGTACTCAGTGTAAAAGTGATCCCAACAGGCTGGTGCTGTGGGGCTGTGGTGATGGCGGGAGGGGGTCGAGGGGGTGGAAGGCACTAGGTGGCAGCCTGACCTCATAAGGAGAACCACGTGTACCCCAAATCAGGCTTGGCCAAGAGGAGTGAGGCGCCTCCCTGCCGAACGCACTGGAGAATTCATCCTCAGGTTCAAGACCTCCAAGCCAGCACTAAGGCTGTCAGACCTCACCCCCCTCACGTTTCTCTTCCTGTCACCATTCAAACAGGGCCAGCATTAAACTACCAGGCAAGACAAGGCCCTTTATTCTGTCCTCCCAAGCGTTGTGATCTTGTGATTTGGAAACCCACCAGGATAGAAATGTGTCTTCAGAGATCAAAGACATAGTGAAGGGTTCTCTGCGCCATTCTAGCTGTTTGGAGAAATCAGTATTTTCTTCTATGAAGACCATGGAACAGCCATGGTCAACTGTTAAAAGTCATGCTGAACCCAGGGGACGGCAGGTAGCCTGAGTGGATGCAGGCAGTCCTTCTGTGGAACTTCCTAGGTGGACACAAGCAAACCCAAACTCTCTTTCTGCAAAGAAAGTTTGGAGATTCCCTCTGTATGTTCTCTATGAGGATAGGTGGGGAACTTGGGAAGGGGATAGAGGAAGAGACACAGAGGGAGGAGGGGGAGGAGGGAGGGAGAATAAAGGTCAGGGGAGGAGAAAGAGGAGGAGAAAAGCAGGGGAGGGAAGCCAGGTGTGGTGGTGCAAGCCTGTAACCCCAGCACTTGGGAGGCTGAGGCAGGAGGATTGCTGTGAGTTCAAGACTAGCCAGAACTATATAGTGAGACCCTGTCCCCAAAAAGGGTGAGAGTCGGGGGTGGAGAGGAGGAAGCAATGGAAACAGAAAAGAAGCTGGGAGGAGGCTGGAGACGCAGGCAGAGAGTGACCGGGAAGTCACCGTGCCCATGCCCTTCAGCCTCTGGAAGTTGGAAACCTTCGGAGTGTCTTAGGCACAGTCCCAGGCCGGGCAGCCCCAGAGCCAGGGAGGCGGCTGCGGTGTCTGGAGAAGGCTTGTTCTGGCTTCACCGAGGGTGCCTTCACGCTGGAAGGGGAGAGGGCACCACAGACCCTTCCCTGAGGACACCAGTCCCGCCCAGGGGGCTCCACAGGCCCCCAGTCACCTATCAGATGTCCAGGCCACACCGCCCCTGGGCACTAAGTCCCTACATATGAATCAGACCTCGGCTCCCTCGCCTCAGTCCGGGGACAAACCAGAGGCCTCCAAAGAGGAACAGGTTCCCTGACGTGGGGTTCCTGGAAACCTACTGGCCAATGTGGAACCTGTCCTGAGGGATGTGACAGAATGTGGAGGGGACCCAGGGTTGTCGCACTGGAAACAAAGATGTCTGCTTCGAAGGCGAGGGCTGTCTTGAGGCATTATGTTCCGGCTGGCCAAGGGATTTGGCCACCTGAGACACGGGAAGGACACACTGAGGACCCCTCACTGGAGGCTTGTGCCGCGGGCGGGGCTCACGCCCGAGTCTGAACAGTGGGGCTTGGGAGCCATCAGCATCCAGCTCGAGGAGCCAGTTGTTCTGTATGAATTCATCTCCCCAGGCAGGAACCAGGAAGCTGTGTCTCCCCACCTGAGCAGTTAGGAGCCAAAAATCATTTGCTGCATCCCTTACCCTTCCCCGTGGAGAAACTCCATCAAAGGGATTCACCTGCTCTCCGCTGTTGCATCCTTCTGAGCTCCTGGGGGAAAGCTCCAGACTCTGCACAGAAAAGTGTGCTTTGGTCCCTTGGAAACAGAGCCCTAATGCAACAAGAAGCCAGTCCCTGCCGCTTGGCCCTTGGCTCTTTGTGCCTTTGGTGAAATATCTCAGGCCAGAGCACAGGTGACCATGAGGAGGTCCAGGTGGAGTTTACTGTAAAGCGGACATAAAGTTGTACCTTCAAGCAGTGAGGTGAACAGTACACCAAGTGGACGTGTGGGTGCTTTTTATGTACAGACTCGTTCCTGGGGGCCGGGTGACTCTGATGACTGTTTCATTGCCCGATGTATATGCCTGTCAACATTTCTCTCAGGGGTAACTTTGGAAAGTCGCCATCTCAGAAACAACTTCCGAGTTCTTTTCAGAGGGCCAGTGTTCTCTCTGAATCAGGTCTCAGTGCCAGAAGGGCGGGTCTTTAACAAAGGCACCTCTTTCCTGTATCATTGGACGTAGGCCAGGGCACCCAGAAATGCTGCATCTTGCTCTAGGAAAAGACGACAGAGGGACCGTGCACACTGTGTGACTTAAAATGTCACCGACCCCTGTGGCACTGTTTGAGGTCTGAGACCTAACAAATGATGACGGATCATACACTGAGCTCTCTGTTGCTTTACTGAACGTAACCGTGTGCTATTTTGGACTCCCCAGGGGTCCTCAGGCCTGCTAATGTCTCCATGCCTGCCTGCCATTCTCCTCCAACACTTTAGACCCTGAAATCATTAGGGTACTGGGGCGCTTCGTCATGGTGGCTCCTTCTCCAACAGTGCTGCAGGCTGGGGCTGGGCGTCCCTACCCTTGCAGACTCGCATGGCTGGCCAAGGCATCGGTGCAGCTGGTCAGGTCAGAAGAGCGCAGGACCATCTAAAGATGGACCGACTATTAACGGGAAGAGCGAAGTCCAAGAGAAGGTTCGTTACAAACAATTCAAACTGGAGCCAAGCCTGCAGCGGTTATGAGCCCTTTGCACCAGGCTGAGCCAGAAAAGCAAGTCCATGGCATCTCCCCAAAGCTGGGGTTGGGATCTGGAACAGCCCGGACTCGTTTAAAGTCCCGCCAAGCAGATGCGGGACAAAAGCCCACCTGGAATATAGTTAAACAGGGGCATGGCAACTGAGCTCCCCTAAGCAGCTGGGCATCTGAGAGGTGCCAGCAGGTGAGCCCTGTGCCCTGCAGCACAGTTGAGCAGGAGGGTAATTACAATAAAGGCTCAGATTAGGAGAACACCTCTGGTATTTAACTGAAGTCTGTATTTTCCTCTGAGAGGCTGGCTTTCCCAGGAGTGTGGGGTCCCTGGACAGGCTCCTCCTTCCAGGTTTAACTCAGGAATGGTGGATCTGACTGACAGTTCCTAGGACGTTGCTAGCTGCTGGAGAAGAGACGGAGAGTTCATTGACCATGCAAGCCCTCCCTGGAGGTACCAGCCTGCTGGAGAGGCCTTTGTCTTAGTTACTTTTCTCTGGCTGCTGAGACAAAATACCCAACACCCAAAGTTAAAAGGGGAAAGGTTGATTTAACTCACAGATTGTAGAGGTTTCAGCCCATAATTGGCTGGCTACACAGGCAAGGTGGCCGGCAGCACAGGAGGAAGAAGACAGCAAAAGCAACAAGCCAGGGACAAGATGCTTTCTGTCCTTGTATCATATGCAAGCTACCTGCCCTATCCTTAATCCCAGCATTGGGGCACGAATCAATCACTAATTCTAGATTCTATCACCTCGGGAAAAGCCCACGCTCCATGATGCTTTGGGGGGACATCCAGACACAAACCATAACAGCCATGAGACTCGGGGCACTGGTGGCCATGCCTGCAATGCACATTCTTGTATACCTGTGGGAAATGTTTAGTGCAGAGTGCACTGGCCTGGGCTTGAGCTGCTATAAATGAACAGAAGCAGCCTGATGCATCCAGGCTATCCCTGGGTGACTGGCGTCCACTGCCTTGATAAATGTCCTACAGTCCTTTGAACAGGCCCTAAGGCCCGGCTAAGGATGCTGACGTCACACCTGTACTGAAGGGGCTTTGAGGAGGGGACTTCAACCCATCATAGGCCTGCTGTTGTTCCTGCTCCCAGGAAAGGGGATTTGATGATTTTCTCTTTAGGGGCTCACGCAGGCTCAGCCGTCAAGTCACACCCAGGGTTCCACAGCCAACAGTGGTCTGTTACTCCTGAGAAAGCACGAAGTTGCTTCCTGGTGTAGAGCCTGGAGGATCCTGGTGGTCTGCACACATGCTGACAGTGCCTGATGCCCTGGGGTTAAAAGAAACACTAAGTAGTGGACTCTACGGGACAGTCCCTGGGCCCTAGGCTTTGAGACTGTCACCAGAAAGTTCAGAATCTGAACCAGATGAACTCAAACCTCTGTTAGAGAGGGGGAATCGATAAGATCATCCATACATCATACAATTTCTCCATTTGCTAGTTAGGTCACCTAAGTCCCTGGCAAATGCCTGTCCAGAAACATGGGGACATCTCTGAATGCTTGGGAAGGACAGCTGAGGCAAACTGTCTGACCAAAGCTGGCTGTCAGGCCACTCCAAGGGACTCGTAAGTATCTTTAAGACCTAGCACTGTACACCAGTGGTATTCGAAGGCACTGGCCCAGCAGAGCTGCAGGGCTGGGGACCACTGGGTGTGTAGGAATAACTGCCTCATTTATAGCACAGAGATCTTGCCCTATACAGTAAAAGATGCCATGGGGCTTCTTGACAGCCAAACTTGGGGTGTTACAAGGTAAGGAGTCATAGCCGGGCGTGGTGGCTCACGCCTGTAATCCCAGCACTTGGGAGGCTGAGGCAGCAGGATCGTTGTGAGTTCGAGACCAGCCTGGACTACAAAGTGAGTTCAAGACCAGCCTGAACTGCATAGTGAGACCCTGTCTCAAAAAGACAAAAACAAAACAAAAAAACCAAGGTAAGGAGTCATGAAAAAGAGCTTATTTCCCACACTGTGCCTGGTGTGGGGAGGCAGGCGACTCCTTCAGCTCCTTCAGGGCTGGGAGGGAAGGGACAGCCTCCCGGACATGTAGGTGTTCACAGCAGAGTTTTAGCAGGAAGGTCACTAAGGATCCAGTCACCAGTCACGGTCAGCATCGCCGGGACAGGCAACCCTCATCCTAACTATGGGCTCATCCAGTTAGCAAAAATAATTGGGGCCCCATCTTTGTTAGTAAGTCTCAGTCCAGGAAAGGGACACAACACTGGCATTGCCAAAAACATGGCTCAGGAAAAAAGTACCCATGAGTGACCTTCAGGAAGAGTAGAGCGTTTGGCCACTGGAGTCGCACAGATGCCCCAAACCCAACGAGAGTCAGAGGCCACCTGTTCGGATTAGAAGCTAAGAACAGAGCCAGAGGTCCCACTGCCAAGGAGGAAGCTCGTGTCTTACCTGCGACATCCAGGGTCACCCGAGACTCTGTCCCACTGATGGTGATGATGGGGCTGAGGGACGACTGGCGCCTCCTCACTGCAAGGACAAACTCTGGGGACCAGGAGTCCTTTGAGCCCTGGGACAGTAAGCCCGCCCGTGTCCTGTTTTGGTCACATTTGGGCAGGGTGACCTAGGAAGTAGGCAGGCATCAGGGAGGTCTCCTCCATGGGCTGCTGGCAACGGGACACTTGTAAGTTAACCTGCTTTACTGAGGGAAAGGCCCTGGGGAAGACCTGGTCATCCCGAGACGCAGCAGGGAGTCCACAGGATCCCATCCACTCAGTCTCTGCCTCCTTGGCTCTCTGCTCCTCCTCTACGTGCTGGCCACAGAAGGCTCAGCACTGTTGCGCAGGGACCTCGGCTCTGCGCAGACACCTTCTGCAGCTCCCTCGGCTGTCTGGAGCTAACGGGTGACAGGCACGTGCTGGGGGCATCACGGCTACCTTTCAGGACTGAGGCGCAGCAGGGCCACCACCCCAGGGCTCCGGGAAGTCGTTTCTCACTTCAGTCTCGTGCTATGGGAGCCAGTTCTGCGTGGTTTCTGGTCGGACTTGATTTGTGGCCCTCAAGAGATGCAGGTTATAAAGCTTCTGTGTTTCCATGTCTTGGCAGGGTCGCGGTCTCTCAGGCCCACTCCTGTATAACTGCCGGCCTCGCGTCTGTGTGTGCATCTGTATGTGTGTGCACTTGCATATGTGTGCACGTGTGTATGTGTGCACAAGTACACTTCCACACAGGCATAACCTGAATTAGAGAAAACAATTTCAACAAACCAAAATAACTTTTTAAACTCAAGTAGGATGAACAACCCATTCGCTTCAGCACAGAGGTAACAGTGTACCAGCACAGGGACCCCAGGCAAAGCGGCTCCCTGCACAAGGGGCCACTCTGTCCAAGAACAAAGCACCGGGCACTGCGGATCCAGTGAGGCCCTGAGTCCCATAGGCGACCGACATGGGGCTCTCATCCCCTGTACAAGTCAAAGCTGGTCTCATGTGGCCCATTTATAGAGCTTTTCTATGGAAAAACATGCCAGGCTCCAACGTGATTCCCAGTGAGTCCTTTACCGCCCAGATATAGTCACAGAAATCACTCCGAGTCCTAACAGAGGGGCACCGGGCTGTGCGCTCCGCCTGACAGGGCAGCGGCGTCTCCTGTGCTGGGCCGCGGGCTCGGAGGAGGCCCTTGGGTGGCAGGGACACACACACGAGGGATGAAGGGGACCCCAGCCCTTCGGGACAGCTACAAGTCACCCTCGCTTGGATCATTTCTCCAAGGAAGGGAGGTAAGCAGCAAGCAAAAACAAAACAAAGGACTAAACACTTCACAGCACTTTAGAAAAATACCTTTAATTTATAGTGAGCACAATTCTCTTTGTAAAAACACACTGATGTAGCAAACTCCCCTCACTCACTCGGTTATTTCAGAGCGCAGCCGGGCCGGTCAGCAACCACTTTGGGGCGTGACTCAGGCAGGGCCCCACCAGGTGGGTGGAAGTCCAGGAGGGAGAGGTCCTGCTGCAGCGGGCAGCTGTTCTCATCCAGCACAAAGCGACTCTCCAGTGTCAGCACGGAGGGCTCGGCACCGTCCGCCAGCAGGGAGTGCAGCAGGTCCGCGGCCACCATCCCGTAGGTGACCTCGGAGGTGGGCACTGGAAGACCAAGCACACACAGCACTGAACTCCCGGAAGGCAGAAGCCGCCCATGAGAGCCCTCACGCAGCGCTCATCCTGTCCTGTCTTTCTGGTCGCTAAGGGGTACGGCATGATGGCAGGCTACTCCTACTGGGCACGGAGGGCGCCAGTCCCCAGGCCAGCAGCACCCCTCAGGCTCAGCTCTCAGCTGCCCCTGCCCCTGCCTCTATCTCTGTCTCTGTCTCTCTCTGTCTCTGTCTCTTTCCCACTGTACTGGGATTGAACCCAGGGCCTTCACACAGGCCATTTAAATTTTTACTTTAAAACAGAGTCTGACCCTCTTGTCCAGGCTAAGCTCCAACGTGTGGTCCCCTGCCTCAGCCTCCCAGAGTGCTGGGATGACATCACGTGCCGTCCTGCCTGACCACAGCTTTTCAACGCAGTGAAGCAGAATGACGTTTTCCTGCATCAGGACTGCAGTCAAGAAGGTATGGTCAGAAAGGACTCTCAGGGTCTCCCAGGCTACATCCCGGCCACACACACGTACAGGCTGAGCATCCCTGATCCGAAATGCAGAGCGGTGGAAGGAAGCCTTTGGGATTTCAGGGTTTTTTGTTTTTGTGGGTTTTTGGGGTTTTTTTGGAATATTTATGTGCATCATGAGGTATCCTGGGGACGAGATCCAAGACCGACATGAACCTTACACATGTCACCTGAAGAAAACTTTATACAGCGTCTTTGGTGCTCCTGGGTTTTGACTGTAACATGTCACAAGCTGTTAGCTGTGGGACTTGCCACGTGTAGTATGACCCTGGAGTTCTAAAAGTTCCAGGCTTGGGAGCATTTCATAGGTCAAATGTTTGGGTTACTGATTCTCCACCAGTATTTATGTTCTCAATAAAAGAACCTTAAAGCCAGGCATGGCAGTGCACGCCTGTAATCCCAGCACTTGGGAGGCTGAGGCAGGTGGATTGTTGTGAGTTCAGCCTGGGCTGCAAAGTGAGCTCAAGGTCAACCTGATCTGCATAGTGAGACCTTGTCTCAAACAAACAAATGAACCAAAAAACCTTGAGTCAGTTATTTAATGAATATGGTATCGATAAAAAATACTACTAGAATTATGAGTAGCTGTGTCATGACTTTTGCTTATCCACGTTCTTCCCTTTCCTTCTCCTTGGTTAGGGGTCTGTGTGCACGTGGCGGGGCAGGCACCCAGGTGGCCTCCTCCTGTGGTCAGGAGCCCTGGCAAACCGGGTGCCTGCTTCTGCTCCACCGGCCGGGAGTCGGCTCAGCCAGACGGGGCCCCTCCTCTACTTCTGCAGCAAGGCAGGGGCAAAGCAGGCCCACCGGCCCCTCACATAGCAAGTCACCCCCGCTGCACCCTGACAGAGACTTCGCTGACAACAGGTGCTCCCTGCACCCCAAGGGCACAGCCCCACCCGGAGGCTCCCCCTGAGGCAAGCCGACAGCACACCTACGGCTCTGCCCAGCCAGTCCGGGGCGATGTGTAGGAGAATCTTCTCCATCAGTGCGGAGCCTACATGGATGCGAGCCACATGGCTTCTGTCAACCACGGTCATGAAAGCTGGCCTGCAGAAAGGAAACAGAGATGGCACTTAGACGCAGGCGTTAATAAGGGGAACGCAGGAGAGCAGAGATGAAACACGCTGTGCACTTTCTCCCTGCGGCCATGGCTCCTCAGCCCCTCCACTCTCACCCTGTCCTCCTTCCCACCCCCAGGGCGTGACCAGAGCCCAGAGCCTCAGGCCGAGCTACACACCGAGCCTTTTCTAGGCGCTGAGATGGGGCTTGCCGGGCTGCCAACCTGCCTAGGCTGGGTTCACCATGCAAGCGCTGGCAAGCTGTGTGCTCTCCCTGCCGGGATTATGGCATTGTCCTGCACACCGCTCCTCCACTCTGTACTCAGACAAGCACAGACTGGGCACCACTCTGATACCACAGCGATGCAAACCCTGGACACACACCAGTGACCGGACGTCAGCTGGCCATGCCTGCTCCCTCTATTCAAGGAACTTAGGAATTTAGCAGGAAAAAGAAAGCATAAAAGGGTTGTGGGTTTTTTGTTTGTTTATTTTGAGTGTTGGGGATAGAACTGAGAGCTCACACATGTTAGGCAAGGGTTCTACCACCGCGCTAAGCCCAAATCCAAGAAAATAAGATTTTTTTTTTACAGTGGTCTCCAGATAATTCAATGGGGAGAGAAGAACCCTTTCAAAAATCACACGGGACAACTGGATACTGACGAGCAGAAGAAAGAAGCTGGATTTCCCCCTTAACACCATACAAGAAAATTAACTAAAAACAGATAATAAATCCAAGTGTAAGAGATAAAACACTGCCGCTTCAAAAAGAAAATACAGCAGTAAACTTCATGATCTGGCCTTAAGGACGTCGCCTTTCTCACAGATGCCACCACGAGCACAGGCAACAAAAAGGAAACCAGAGGAACAGTGCTGGCGGGTGGGAAGACCTGCACCTCTCGCACCGGCTGCAGAGCGAACGTGACACTAACGGGCAGCTGTGGAAAGCAGCTTGGCCGCCCCTGCAGCCGTCAGGCCACACAGCCAGCGACTCGGCGCCTGCGTGTGCACCCAAGGGAAAGAAAACTGGTGGACACACAGACACTCGCGCGCACGCGCTCACAGCGGCTCCATACACAGGACCCACAAAACGGGGCCCCCTGGAACGCCCCTCAGCTGATGCATGCGTACCTCGAAGGTGGCACTGGCATACAGCGGGATGATGTTTTACAATAAACAGTAGTGAGAGCCTTAAACCCTTCTGCTCCGTGAAAGGCCTTGCACTGACTCCCCTCCCGGGCACGCCGGGTGGGGAGGTCTGCACAGAGAGGAGGACGGGAGCGTGGGGGACAAGGAAGAGGACCTCGGGAGGCTGCACTGTAAAAGTGCCCTAACATGGCCGTGGCGACGGTCACACAAGGCTGAGACTACTCTGAAACCACTGAACTCCACGTTAGAGACCAGCAACACGGGAGTTACAGCCCAGAAAAAACGCAGCTTTAGAAAAGGGGATGCAGCTAAACACAAACGGAGTAAGTACATAACACAGGCCACTAAGGGGAGACAAGAGGTGGTTAGGGACAGCCTCTCTGCAGATCAGCAGAGGACACAACGCGGAAGAAAGTCCTCCATAGACCGCCATGACCAAAGGCCGAAAGGAGCCCAGTGAGCTGGACGGAGAGGCCACGGGGCAACGGGAATCCGGGAGGGCGCGCAGACACGGCTTGCTGCCTGGAAACAGCGGTGACAGATGGCAGAAAGACGGACGCCCAAGAGGGGGGACAGTGAGAGATGGGAGGCAGGCCGGAAAGCCCGGAGGGCAGTGCCACCAGGGGACAGAGGAGGAGGAGCTGGGGGAGGCGGTGGCAGCAGAGGCCTGGGGAGCGCAGCCAGGAACACATCGAGGAGGAGAAGGTCCCTTCAGGTTGAAGGCAAGCTTAGCAAAGGCAGGGTGAGCAGCCAGAGGGCTGGAACCCAGGGGGCAGAAGGGAATTTAGAGGAGACGAAAGAGGAGGAGGCTGCGGTTGCACCATCTGGACAAAGCCTGGCTGGAGTGGGGCAGAGCAGAAGGGCTGGGAGGCAGGAGGAAGGCTGGGTGACTGCTCGTGCCACAGTGTCCACAGGCTGGGGGGCAGGCCCACCGGGAGCTCCGGGCACGGGAGACAGGAGACACAACACAGGGCACGCCAGGTCGCGCACGTAGGGCTGCCCAGGCCTCTCCCTGCGGCTGCTCCTGGGGGCCCAGCCCGTCACAGGCTGCAGCATCTCCCGCTGTTGCTGGTCCAAGAGCTCCATCACCTAGCGCTCCCTAACACACCTAACAGCCACCCGGGCACTAAATCCTGCCGCTTCTGCTTTCCCAACACTTTTTAAAGGGCAAAGCACCTTTGCTTCTTTAAAATTCCGGTAACGTCTGTTTCTTGCTTCTTCTCTGGCTGCCTTCAGTTTCCCCCATTCAATGTAACACAGAAGCACATGAAATGCCTCAGACCAGACCCCAAGTTCCCCCCAAATCTCTGGCACAGGCGGGAGCACCTTCCTGTAACGGCCACGCTGTGTACTAGTTAATCTGCAGTCAGCCAGGGTCCCACGGCCTTCAGGGTTCCCGTCAGCTGGGGCTCGTATCCATAAGGAAGGGCACCAGCTATGGCTTACATCTAGATGTCCCCAAAGCCTCATCGGTTCACAGGAGGGCTGTGGGAGGTCACTGGGCCGTGGGTGTGTGACACCGATCAGCCACCGAGGGTTTACAGCTGGGTGTGGCGCTGGGAGGTGAAGCCGGGTGGGGAGAGGTGGCCATTGTGGGTGTGGCCTAAAGCTCGCCCTTCGCCTCCCTTGGCCTCTTGCCGCTTCCTGCTCTCCGTGCCAGGAGCGATCCTCCTCTGCGATATCCCTCTGCCACGGCAGCCTGCCTCAGAGCCAGCCAGCCATGAGCTAAAACCTCCATGAGCCAGGAGCCATAATACACCTTCAACTCCAAGAGACTCTGGCATCAGCTCTTCCCACTGCCTTCTTCAAAGTATAGAGAGAAATAGTTCTTTGGATGAAAACTTATTTCCCACTTAGAAAAACTTACACCAGTCAACAGGCTTCCTTCCGACCGATGACACTGTGGTCATCGCTGCCTGCCCCCTTTGCACCCTGCTGGTTCTCATCTCCAAGGGACAGCGAATCACATCCCAGGAGCGGAACTCAGCAGAGGCATGGCCGCTGGCTCCCCCCAGCTCTCCCTGGGGCTCTGCTGGAGAAACAAGCCTGGCACTGAGCATCCCGGCAGCCAGCCGTGGGGGTGGAGGCCAGGGCCTGCCGGGAGGAGCACCGCCCCTACCCCCGAGGGCCTGGACAGCCAGGGTGCACCCAGCACCCGCACAGCTGCGTCTCCCGAGCTGAACAGCGGCTTGGCCTGCTGGCTTCTTAGCTTCTGGACAGAAAAGGCAATGTGTTCCTTGTATTCCAAAAAGAGTAATTCTGAATTTATATTCTATAAAACATTGTTAACAATGGTGCGCAGGTTCTATAATAGTTATAAGAACAATAACTCTCCCCTGAATAATAACTAGATGGAACAGGCACATTTGGAATGATGTAAAATAAAGTCACCTAGGCAGACTTTGGAGAGTCCTTAAGAAGTCCTTTGTTTCTTATATGCTAGGTATCTGAATTTGATCTTCCTTCCCACAAAAGCAGCCTACACAGCAACAGTGAAACACACACCTACTCATTTAAAACAAGCATGAGTATTTGTAGATTACGGCCTTAGCCTCTGGAAGAATGCCATGATAGCGTGCCCAGTCATCTGCACTTAGTTTTCAGCTACTGCTGTATTTAGAAATGAGAGGAAAGAGCATAAAACCAGGGCGTATTGTTTTGTAAAGGGAGGCAATTTATCTGGGTAAAAAAATTATCTGGGACTTTAGGCGTTCATCTTTTTGGAAAACACTGTGTTTTCTCACTGAGTTAGGTGACAGTTTTACCAAAGAACATTTATTTACTCTCTGAAACTTCTAAGGTAAAGGTAGCAACTCAAGTACGAAGGTTAAACACACTGCTAGCCTGCACAAACCACTCAGAGCTAAAACCACGTAACACCTTCAACCTTTAAATTCTGTTTTAAGATGGGGAAATGAATTATTTATGAAACATTTAGATCTTGGTTAAAAATGTAAGTAAATAGTAACTTTCTTTAGCATGCCTGTCTTTAGACTGTATTTGCTTCCATAAATGACTATTTGCTGCAGGGGAAATTTCTGTCCCCTCGGGCTGGCTCTCCGTAGGAAGTCAGGCGGACACACGTAATTGTTACCCACTTGCAGCTCGGCGACAGTGCCTGCTGCCGTCTAACCGCTCCCTGCTCTGCCTACCTGTAGTAGGTTTTCTTCCCAGAAAGCGGCAGGCAGCGCAGACACTGCCTGTAGATCTTGTTCTCATCCGTGTGCAGCTCGGCCCCACAGCCTGCACAGCCAGCGTAGGTCATGCTGGGGAGCCAGGAGAGGATGTGCTCCAGGGAGCTGTGAGCATTCAGGCGGACCTCCTGAGCCGCCCCGACGGGGAGCACCAGCTCCACGATCCGGGCTTCAATCAGAACCACTCCTAGGAGAGACGAAGGAAGAGAACTCAGGGGCACTGCTGGACCAAACGGGAGCTGATGTGCAAACATGCCCCGGGATGCTCGCCACTGGGGAAGGGCTGCGCCAAGTCCTGCTCTTGGTCCTCAGAGAATCTGTCTCACTCAGGGCTGCGGGAACAGCTCTGGAATCTCCCCGCACCTGAAGGAAGGTTTATTAAATACAGTTCCAAATGCTACTGTCCCAGCTCAGCCGGGAGCCCGCAGCCTTCAGCACGGCCTCAGAGACAGGAAGCCAGCGCAGAGCACAGGGCTCTTTCCTCTAAAACTGCAGACCACTGGCTACCATCAGGATATGGGGCTCTGTCCCAAAGCCCAAGGCAATCCAAACCAAAATGGATTCCTTTCCTTCTTTTTACTCAAAATAAGTCACCTGAATTGTATTTAATGAAAATGACATCTAGTGAATGCAAGTGTATACTGTATAAAACATCATCAACGGTATCATCACCTCCAAGGCAGTTTTCCACTGACGCGCTTCTAAGGGTAAATTTTTTTTTTTTAGTACCAGAAATTGAACTCAGGACCTGGCGCTTGCCAGGCAGGCCCTGTGCCACTCAGGCATATCCTCGGCCCCTAAGGATGAATTTTAGAGACACATGGATGGTATTTGGGTTGAGGGAATGAGCAGCCTGTTTTTGTGACCATAGTGAATTACTTGAGGCAAGGGAACTTGATAAAGAGCAGAAGTGGATGTGAATCTCCGGTCTGGAGATTCAGGAGCTTGGCACGGGCACTACTGAGCCCTGGTGAGAGCTCACGGTGAGCGCAGGGGTGCACCAGGGATCACACTGCCGCTCTGAAGCCGGGGCCTGGAGAGTCTGGGGCTCCGCACCCTTTGGAGAGCACACTCCCAGCAACGTACAGACGCTCACTAGGTGTCATCGCCTTATGCCACTATGCCGGTGACCACACTCCCACAGCTCGGGAGCCCAAACCACAGCAGTGGACATCCCAGGCCCCATATCTATGTTTTATTTCAAATTCAATTTTTCTCACAAATGGTAGATTCTTTGCTTACACTAAAATTAGAGCTAGGCACAGTAACAGCCACCTACAATCCCAGCACTTGGAGGCTGAGGCAGGAGGACTGCCATGAGTTCAAGGCCAGCCTAAACTACACAGTATATTTCATGTGTATCCAGATCTTACCTGAGCACTTCTCCGTTAGGTGTGTTGCTAGGTCTGACGTTCTCGTGAAGGAGGGTGCACGTTCTTGGAATTTTGACTTAAATGCAACTGCTCTGATATCATCATCAAACAGGCACTCACAGGAGGACCAGGGCGTGGTGTGCAGTTCCAAGCTCTCCAGTAAGCAATTGCGCTGGACATAAAGATATTTAAATTCCCAAATAGAACCTTAAAACAAAAGCATATGGAAATCAAAGGTCACCGGCATGGCAAAAGCCTAGGCTCAGAATCAGACTAAACAGGTTAACTGAAATAAGTCGGTTAAATATAATTTTGTCACTAAATAATTTGTATAAAGATATAAAATATGCCCGGCATGGTGGCTCACATCTGTAAGCCCAGCACTCTGGAGGCTGAGGCAGAAGGATCACCATGAGTTCAAGTCAGCCTGGCTACACAGTGAGACCTTGTCTCAAAAGTAACCAAAACAATGGGCCCGGGGTGTGCTCAGCTGCACAGTGCCTGCCTGACAAGCACAAGGTTGTGAGTTCGATTCCCAGTACCAAAAACAAACAAAAAAAGACAAAATATGTGTATAAATGTTGTGTTAAGGTCACAGGGTACAAATGCTAGAAATAATTCTAATAAAATTTTCTAATAATTTCTTGCTCTCACCCCAATAAATGTTGTTTAAATTGTTACTGTGATATGTTTACACTGGTTATCATCAAAAGGCTAAGTTTTCTAAAAGTAATACAATAAGGTTTTTTCATAAAAGATGCTCTTGATACAAAAGCAATTAAGAAAGCAAGGTTTTCTACAGCTGTGACAACTGGCTGTTATTCTTGTTTTGAATGAAATGTACTCACGCCTCCAGATTCACCTGTCTTCCAAAAGGCAAAACACAGATGATTTACGGTGACACTTTCTTTCAGAACCAGACCTCCGCCTTTAACAAAACCCTGCATGATGTACAGCCCCCGAAGGCCAGCAAGTCAGGTGGGGGCTTTTCATGCATGAGATGGGGGTGATTGACTAAAAGGGGTATTTCATGTCACATGGAAATTCAGCTTGTTACAAAAATGTCACAACTTCACACTACAATATTATGTACGGTTTTGATTTCCAAACTTTATGTGTAAAATACGTAACTGTTAACATTCTACAGGGATTTCACCGTATGACTTCATGGTTGATTAAAGAATAACGGTTCTGTTTTATGTTCTAACGTGCCTGAAATTCAGATCAGGTAGTAATCAAGCTTACTGCTTGATTACGCTGTAATGTTTATCAGTCTTTTCTTCTGGATGTTCAACAACTGAGGTTTGGACACTAAAAACTAGAAAGATAGACGGGCTGGGAGGACAGCCAGTATTTTGGCTCCACCCTCGGAGGTCAGTAAGGACCCAGGATGTCAGAGAATCTCTGCAGTGACATCCCATAACTCTGTGAGTCCTGGTCTTCTGATCAAGGAGATCGTGGGACCACAAAACACTGTGATCTACGATACAGAGTGTGTATAAGGAGAGTCAGCAGGAGGAGGCAAATCTCCTAAGCTTTCACAGAAAGCAACTTGGGCAAGCTATAACTCATCCTGATGGCTGACACTGTCCAGAACTGAGAAGCTCTTACCTCAGTTCCAAGGCAAACTCTGAGGAGACTGAGCAGACCTTGATAGATAGCAAGAGGGTAATTTTAATTAGTAAGGTCTCGGTTTAACTAGGGCTTGAACATCCAGCAGAAAAGTACAATCAAAGGATATATAAAATAGTAGTGTGATAGTAAATTAGATGTGGGAGGGGCTCCAATCATTAACCCCTTCTGGCAGCTTCCAACTAGCCCAGTAACTGATCACTGTTAGGGGCCATTAAGAATAAATTACAAGCCCTGCGTGGTGTCGCACTCCTGTAATCCCAGCACTCAGGAGGCTGAGGCAGGAGGATCGTTGCAAATTTGAGACCAGCCTGGGCTACAAAGTGAGCCCAAGGTCAGTCTGAACTGCATAGTGAGACCCTGTCTCAAAAAGAATAAATTACAATAATATCTGTACAAAATCCTAACTGCTGCTACTGTAAAAATAAAAATGAGGATATACTGGGCACCCAAATTCACAAAGGCTAATTTTCATACTTCTCTAAGGGATAAATGGAGGCGGGGATTATGGTGTCACCTTTTGAGACTTCCCATTAACCCTTCCTACCCACTAAGACTAAACTAAGACTACTAAGATGGCAAAGAACACTCCAGAGCAAGCTCCTTCTTAGCATAAAATCATCTCCTGAGTCACGGGTTACCTGCAAGGGCAGGGCCTCTGGATCTTCTGCGGACCTGGACTCTGCCGCTAGCCTCTCCTCTCACCGAATACCCCACTGCATGGTACACACCCATAAACAGCGGCTGGTTTGGAGGAGCTGGGTCTTTGCCCATCCTGAGGCACCGACCTCCCAGTCCCCCTATCATGTGCTACTAAAAAGTAATTTTTTGGTCTCGTAAACAAAACAGTCATAATTTATCATAACTAACTGCTTTTGGAAATTGTAAATTCTTATTTTGATAACTACAAAGTTTTATTTTTTTAATTTGAAGTTATTTCGAGGGATAATTAAGTGGTCTACATAACCAATATTTCACTGATATTTCAATTCCTTCATTGCCTTACTTAGCTGACTTCCACTTTACAACAAAGACAAAAAGCACTTGGGCACAGTAAAACCTACTTTTATCTCAGTAATGACTCTAATTTTTAAGCCACAGGAGCACTTACCTCCTTGCCAAATAATTGTATTCCGTATCAGTCAATTGAACTTTAAAATTACAACAGCTGAGCATGAGTGCAAACCTGTAATCCCAGCACTCAGAGGCTGAGGCAGGAGGACTGCATGAGGTGGGGGCCAGCCTGGGCTATACAGCAGGTTCAAGGCCAGCCTACACTACAAAGTGAGACTCTGCCTCAGCAGCAAAGCCAAACAAAACTATTAAAAAGGATATTTCTCGTTACTAATTGTCCTGAAAACGACTGTCTCCTTAGTGTCCCTTAGGTCACTGTGTGTGTGTTATGGTGCGGAATCAATCTGTACAGACAGTTGCTTTAGATACCTCTTTATGTATAAAGTCCTAGAGGTATAATTAACGAGCCAAAGAGAAATCCTGAATCCTTTCCTCAATATCAATTGTCTACCCCAGTCCACCCACCCACCCTCCCCACCCCGTGAGCGGCTGTGAGCCTGGCAGGCTCCCGCAGCCCGGGACGGAAGCCACCAGCCTTTACTGGGACCCGCGCCAGGGAAACCATGCTGGGACCTGGAGCGCCAGGAAACCAAGCAACACCTCCCCACAGCCTGTTTTGTTTTGTTGAACTTCAATACATGAACATACGGACAGCTATTTTGAAGAGAACAAGAGACTCTATGACAGCCATTAGTGACTTCCCTGTTGTCTGGTTTTGAAGACCTAAAACGCCTTCCGCATTCTGTTCGGATCAGTTTTATACTATGTTGTTTCGTGTGAATTCTCTGTATGGGAAGGCCTGGACAGCTATTTGGAAGAAAACAAGAGACACTATGATAGACAGTGAAGACCTCCGGTCATCTAGCTTTGAAATTTATCTCTCGTACATTGCTTTCTTATGTCTTGTTTTGTTGTGTTTAATTTTACCCCCTTTGAAATAAAAAAAAGATCAATTGTCTTCAAAAAGGTTCTGCTAATTTATATTTCCCACTGTCTACGACAATGGCAATTTTTCCACACTTTGTCAATTTCTTATAAGAAAAAAGTCATTTATCACCATTTTAGGTGTCTTCAGTTACTATGAGTAACTTTTCACATATTTACTGGCATTTTTATTTCTTCTTGGGCCTTCCCCGTTCATACCCTTTACCCACTGACCGTTCCAGACTGTTGCCTGCCGCGTTACCCGTGACACAGCGCAGCTCTGCCTGGTTTATTACCCTCTTAATTCTGTATGTATGTGGGGATTTATGCACAGCAGCTCTTGCTGCTGTACTTTTTTTTAACACACTGACCTTTGGATTCCGAATAGCTTCTACATTTTCTACTAGTCATTGTTGCTTTTTATTTTTTATTTGAATCTCTAGTGAATTTGCAATATATTTTGGTACAGAGATGCAATAAAATTTAATTCTATTTTTCCTCATATTACCTGGTAGAATCCAAAATGTCAAATATTCTTTTTAAAAAGGAAAAAAAAGTTAACAATATATTTTCCACCAGTGAAATACCTTCATGGCAAAACATTTAGACAACAAGAAAAGGACGTAAGTGGTGACCTAAGCCTGGCCGTGTCCCAAGGAGCTGCCTAATGCATACCTCGGTTCTCTACAGGAGCTTCTGTGCTCCCCACGTCTGTCTGTCTGTGTTTGCAGGTTTTTAGGGATTTAAAAAGTAAACGCAGACTTTTACCAGTAAAATTCAAACTGAAGGTGTGACTAAACAAGGAAAGCCAGGGCCAGCATTTTGATAAGTGTTCCCGGATTTTAAGTGTACACAGATACTGTACTTGAGAGAAACCTCTACTAAAATGCGACGCTGCTTTCCAGGCGGGCGAGCCTGCCTGTTTGTGGCGGTGAATGCCCTGTGTCCACCCAGACCCCAAGCCACTGTTTCCCGCCCAGGCCGGTAAACTCAGCTGTGCTCCTCCTCAGGTTCACTGGGTAAGAGCATCCTGCACCCGATTCTCTTTGCTGGGGACTTGGAAATGGCCAGGCTCGAGAAGGAAAGTAAAATCACGAACCACGCATGGAGTAAGCACTCCACCTCCATGTGGCAGGGTAAACAGGCGGGCCACGGGGGCTTTGCACATGCAGAGAGGCTGCACACCACAGCGACTGTGCTCGGGCCCCTGGCTCTGAGGCCCGGGGCGGACGGGCACTCTGTCCTGGGACATGGAGGCTTCTCTGTAAGCCCTGGGAAGCTGCACAGGGCGAGGCCCCAGTCCTGATCGCAAGCTCGGGGCCCACGCTTCACCCTGATTTCTTTCTTCTTCCCTGCCTCTCCTCCCTCCCTGCCTTTCGTGGGTGCATGCAGGGGGTTAAATCCGGGACCCGGCGCACACTAAGCTCGACCACCTAGCACCTTCCTCGGCCCTCCCTCTAATTATTGAACACATGCCATGGCTTGCAAAATTGTCAGGATTACACATTCTAACTGCAGTCTTAATCCTTAAAGACGGTGGGAAATTCAAACAGCTGACCGATCTGTACCCTAACTTTCAGTCAGGCATAAGGAAGGGCCTATTCATGGGGCAGGACATGCCGTGTGGCCGGACGTTTACCACACAGCAGGCGGGGCACTTATGAATTTACCATCTACGGTACAAGACAACCAGCCCACAAAACAAAACAAGCCCGAGGAATACACAAAGGGTGTGCTGACGTGCACGCAAGCAGCCTCGAGGGGGACACAAAGCGGGGGGCTGGACACGAATCAGGAGCCCCTCGGTGGACACCTGGAGGAAAAGCGCTCTGGAGAGCAGCAACAGATCATTCTGCGTACGAGGCCGAGGGTCCACACACGACCCAGAACAGCGAGGCACACTGCTGGGCAGGTCTGCAGCCAGGGAGAGCTGCACGGGGTGAGCCGTGCGCATCCGCACGTGTGACCCAGTGATGAAGGGGGGCTGCCCACCTCCATCCGGACGGAGCTGTGGCTCGAGTGCCGTCAGTGCTGGGGCTGTGTGCCTTGCTCTGGGCGGAGCTGCGCAGGGAGAGAACTTCACTGCAATCTGCCATCTCTTTGAAACATTCAATTTCTATTGAATGACTACAGAAAAGGACCACACTGGAACAACATGTGGTTCTGACTGGATTGCTTTATGTCTAACCAATTACTCTTATGCTACTTTATGTTCTTAGCTTACCCCCATTAGGACCTAAACTGTGACCAAGGCTAGCTACATGTGAACCATACTAAATTCCTACTAGAAATGCATATTTCAAAAGAATGCAAATATGTAGTTTCTCACTATTCTTCCCCCAAACCTCAACTCGATGTCTCCAGTATTCAGTAACGATGCTTGGTGACGATTTCTAATTATACCATCCAAAGATGGAGTGTTAACCTTGGGGACAAATAAAAGCAGTCTCAGGAGAGAGGTTACTACGGAGCCCTGGGACACACAGATGCTGGTAATTTCTGAAAGTAGAATCATGACGTAAGTGATCCTTAAAAACTGGTATTTTCTATCAAAAATAGCTGCCTCATTGAGGGACTGAAGTGGATGGCAGAACCTTAAAGTGATGGCATAAAAAATGTAAGCTGAGTTAACAGACAAACCAAGAATAGCTACAGGTCCATTCCTGCATTCTTAAGTCTTCAACATTAACCTTTAAAACCATAGAACTGTCTGGAGACCACTATTTCTCTTAGTGTAATAACTGTTAACTTAGAGCAGATTCGCACCACGCCTGGAACGCTCTGCCGCCCACGGCTCCTCCACCTCTGACCCACATCTGTGCTCGGCATGTGCTAGGCTCGTGTCCCGGCAGTGACAGGAGGGTCAAGGATATACCCCACCTGTCATCGATCCATGTTTGTCAGATTTCTCAACTGGATAAACAGCTCTTACTGTTTGATCCTAACATGAAAGATAAAAGTCAGATTTATCGCAAACCCTGGTTGTAGGCCATTAATGATTAAGAGAGATGATGTGCTGGATCCTACCTACAGGAGCTCCTCGGGAGGGAGGCGTTAGAAAGAGACATTGATTCTTTCAGGGAAAAAATAACGGGTCACACACTTGATCTCTAAATTAGTTTTGTAGAGTAAAATCACTCAGAAGCCACTAATTAAGTGATCTCTGCTACAACGCAACGACCTCACAAAGCAAAGGGAGTGTTAAATACTATTTATGGACCCATCGATACCTTTAGTTTAGTATGCCATAAATTATTAATTTGTGCTTTGAACCAAGTGTAACATTATCATTTTTATGTGAGTATCATATGATGTCTTAACATGATTAAAACAACTAGAATAAAAGTGTGACACATGAGCCACACAGTGAGTTCAAAGCCAGCGTGGGCGACTCAGCTGGACCCTGTCTCAAAAAAAAAAGAGAACATACAAATTTACTGAGCGGTAACCGTGACTTGGAACCATTAGTGTAACTCCCCCAACATCTGCCTTCTAACCAGAGAACTTTATCATCAGAGTGCTCTGGCTGAAAAAAAACTATAGAAGCTGCCCCAGAATCAAGTTCTTAAGGAACATTCATTGAAGGCCACATGAGCTTCACCAACAGAGTCAGCAGCACACCTGGGATGAAGGAAGCCCTTCTTCGACACCGTTAACTAGAGGACTTTTAGATACGGAACTGCTGCAAGGGACACAGAACAGACGCGTGCAGAATACTCAGTCTTGCCCAAGTCTGTTTTAGATGTCACCTCTCTTCTTCGGATTCTCTTCATCTTCCGCTCAAAAGCATTAATCATTTACTAGAACATCAGTAGGCCGACCGCTTTCGGGGTGTACCTACCGGTCTTCCTTTGAAGCTGAGGGCACCACGCTGCTCCAGGACCCCAGAGCACAAGCACGTAATGCTGACCTTGGGCCTGTTCCACCGTTAATACAACTTTCCTTTGCTTCTGTCCTCTGTAAGTGTACAGCGCCTCTGGGGAAGGGACAGCGATGTCTTAGTTGGCATTACTCCGTCACAGGTGACTCCATATGTCAACAACTCCAATAAATAGGTAATGACACCTGCATGATAGGCTAAGACGGCCTTGGGCATTAACATTAGGATCTAAAATCAAAGAAGGCCTCAAAATGTTTACCTGTCAGTACAGCGACATCCACAACTCTCAGCACAGCGTGCACTAAGGTATCAGGCTGCAGCCGCGCCAGCTCTGCGAACTCGGTCCTGCTCCCCCTGCGAGGCCACCTCTGCGGAAGGCCCCTGAGATAGGAATGCTTTGAAGACACGTACGCCAGCAGGTCCCGAAGCACAGCAGTGCTAACTATACTGGAATCTAGGAGGAAAAGGACACACCAGTGTGGGCGAAGGGTGGAACACCACTTTTCTTCACGGTGCACGATAGTTTTAGAACTGCATTTTATGTTGGAAAGTATAATTAAGCAAAACACCATTGTATTTCTATAAAACACCTAGTTTATGCTTGAATCAGTTTAGAAATAAAAATACAGGTTGACATTTTTAAACAGTGGAAACAGAATCAGTTACCGTCTCCAAGGATTTTACTCCATTTAATATCGTTTCTCTAACCAAGCTCAAAACGTCCATTCTGAGCAGCATGAGCCCCTGCCTTGCAAGCACACAGTCGTGAGTTCGATCCCTGGTACCCAAAAAAACCAAACCAAACCAACAAACTTTCATTCTGTTTCCCTTCCTCCAGCACCCTGATGGCTCCCAATCCTTGGGGTCTGCTGCACCCCACCTTTCCCAGCTCTCCTGACCGCCGCCCCCCTTCCACAAGCTCCTGGGCACCTCACCTCTGAAATACCACAAGGCCAAGCTGCCCCACCGGCTCCCTGGCTACAGATGCTCTACTCTTTCCCACTACTGCGTGGCTGTCCTTAGCAACCTGTGGGAACCCACACTTCTCTGGGCTTCATTTCTCATGTACAGGGTGGTAGTTTTGGGGGGAAATGATCCCTGATATCAAATTATGTATCTGTCCCCGTTTTATAAAAATTTACATGAAAATGTGGTTATGTAGACTACAAGGAAAATACAGTCTGCCTCAAGGAAGCAGCGTTGGTCTTGATTTACATATCTAATTCTATCTAAGGTAAATGTGTACCCTATCACAACCACCAGGACTAGGATTATACACCTCACTATAACGAGTAATGAACAGGAGTCTTTCCCAAAAGTACAGCATATTGAAAAAATCCCAACGTTAAAACACTGACTGGTTGTACCTGTCAAAACCACACTGCCTTGCTGACTGTTGGTTCGTAGTTAAGTCCTGGTATCTGGTAGAGCAAGTTATTCTCCCCTACATTTCTTCTAAAAATGCCTTAGCTGTTTTTGACCATTTACCCTTCCACAAAAATAGCAGATAATCTATCAACTTTCATAAAAATTATTTTGAGATTTTTACTGGCTATGCACTAAATTTAGAGATCAACTTGGGGAGCACTGAAGATATTTTTGAAAACTGAAATTTCTATCACATGAAATCTTCCAATCACTGAACAAGGACTCACATATCCTTTGTCTGCCAAACTTACTACTTCATACTTAGCACCATGTTAATTTTCTAAGAAGCACCTTCTTTAAGTGTCATTCGCTGTCCTACTCCAGAATTGTCTTTTGTATATTAATCTTACCTCTAGCCACCCCGCTAAACCCATCATCGCTAGTAGTTTGTTTCTGGTTTGTAGAGGGGAAAGGACAGTTGTGCATAAAACATTATATCTATGAGTAAAGGCAGTTTTATTTCGTCATTTCTAACCTTCATGTATCTTTTTACATGTTCCACCATACTAGTTAATAACCCTAATACCATGTTAAACAAAGCTAGTAATAACAGTATCCTGGTCTTGTATCTCAATTTTAAAAGCAAACTTTCAAGTACTTTCTCAATTTGGATAATTGTTCTGGATTTTTTAAAGGCTCTTTCTGAAGTTATGAGAAATTTCTTTTTATTTCTGTTCAATGAAATTCATCAAAGGCTTTTTTGAGCCTTCTGGCGTGATCACACAGGCCTTTTAAAGAACTTTACGTTTGGGGCTAGGGACATAGCTCAGCAGCACAGCCCTGGCCAGCAAGCACGAGGCCCTGAGTTTGATTCCTGGTGCCAAAAGAAAACAAAAAGCTTTTTGTTTGGCGCTAATGGTAAACTTCCAAAACTGGTAGAGTCCCCACATATTCCTGACTCTCTAAGCTCTAATGTGGACATCTCACATAGGGACTAAATGTCCTGGACAGAAACTAATTGGTTAAATATTAATTAACCTACAGAGTTTATATAAATATTACTAAATTCCCCATTTACATCCTTTTTTGTGTGTTTGTTTTGAGACAGGATCTCACTACGCAGTGCAGGGTGGTCTTGAACTCACTTACGTAGCCCAGGCTGGCCTCAGACTCACAGCCTACCCCTGCCCCCAGCCTCACAAGTGCTGGGGTGACAGGCCCACACCTGGCTGTGTCCTTGTCCTGAGTAGGCCCCTATCAGGATTCCACCTTACAGTTCCCTGCTATTTTCTATCAGAATCCTCTAGTCTGTCACAGGTCCTCAGTTTTCCCTCGTCTTTCATGATCCTGACACCTTGGAAGAGTACCAATCAGCATTTTGTAGAATACACCTCCATTTGGGTTTCTCCAATGTCTTGCTATGATTTGAGTCCATTTTTGGAAATATCACGAACATTATATGCTGCGTCCTTCTCAAAGCATAAGATCATGGAATTCATGGTATCTATACATCTTCACCGGTCACGTTTACCTTGATCACTTAATAAGCTGAGGTTTGCCAAGTTTCTTCACTGTGCAGTTACTATTCTCCCCCTTAGAGGCAGGAACCAACAGCATGTACATCCCTCAACAGATGAACAGAAAAGGGAAATGTGGGATTCGTATATAGTGGAGTACTACACAGCCATAAAGAGAAAAAATCTTGAGCCATTTATAGGTAATGCAAGCAAACCATGTTAAATGATTCACACACAAGCTCTCTCATCTGAGAAACACAACAGTTAGATATATATGCAAATAAAAAGCAAACTAGAAGTGGATAAGTAGAAAGTAAGGAGAGTTCAAATACTTCCCCAACAAATCCCCGTTGTCTTAAAGATATTCAAGTATATATGCTTCATTTACGCTACTAGTTTATCTTAGTTCATTGAAAAGAAAATTTTGTATTATCTCTTTGCTCCTCTGTGTCAGAATCTTTTTGGTTTATGCCTTGTACTGAGTAACTACTTTGAAGATGATACAACTGTAATAAATACTGTTATTCTCTTATTATTATGAAATTGTTTTATTTTGTCATAAAATTTTTAAAAAGAAGCAAGAATGCTACCGGGGAGACACTGTGAGGCCACGCAATGCCGTCTTCCCAGAGCCCCATCTACTCACCAGTGGACCCTCTTTTACATGATTGTGTCTGGGGGTAATTCTCTCTCTCTCTCTGTCTCTCTCTCATCTTCATGAGGCAGGGTCTCACTGTGCAGTTCAGGCTGGCCTTGAGCTCACTTAACATCTCAGGCTGTTCTCTAACTCACAGTGGTCCTCCTGCCTCAGCCCCTCTCTGTCTGTCTGCCTGTCTGTCTGTCTCTCTTTCTCTTTCTTGGTACTGGGGATGGAACTCACACCTCGGGCTTGCCAGGCAGGCGTTTACAAGGCTGAGCTAAACCCCCAGCCCCTGCCTCAGCCTCTCAAGTGCTGGAATTACAGGCGTGCACCACCACGCCCGGCTCTCTGTTTCTCTTGTCTCTCACTTACTAGCTAACATGAATTGCTATCAGTTCAGAGGCAGAAACATTTGTTCTGGCCTGTGAGTCACCATCGCTGCCATCGGGTTTATCTCCGTGCTTTATTTATGCTCCGGCCGCGGGGCACCGGGGCTGGTGCAGTTGGCACCTGTGCTCTTCCAGCAGCTCATCTGACTCCGGAGTCCGGGCGCACTGGCGTTCCCTGACCTGACTCTGCAGTCAGTCCCCTCTGTTTCCTTTTTTAGCACGCTGTTTACAGGCCGCGTTCGAGATACCGGGTGTGCTCTGGGTCACTGAGGATACTGCTGCTGCGTGCCCCTGGGCAGGCCGAAGGGGTCACTGGCGCCCGCAGCTTCTGTATCTATTTATCCAAGGACCAGAGCCCACGAGTTTACAATATGACCTCGGGTCGGTCCACAGGGCCAGCTGAACTCTCCCCTCCCGTTCTCCACGGCTCCTTCTCACCTGTCTTCGCTTACTTAACATCGGTACAGGTGCACGGAATGGCCGCCACGCGCTGGGCCGAGGCACACGCTGACCGCACACGCTGACCGGCTGCGGCACTGAGTGTCCTTAGCCTCAGAGAACCTCTCGGCCAGGGTCTCCCACGCAGACCTCGGTGTGTCTTCCTTCTCCTCCCCTTCTCAGCCGTTATTTTATTCACCAGAAACACCTAGTTTCTGTTGCTCTGCACCCCGCCTGGTTAAATTGCTGGGGAATTTGGGGGGCTGAGACCTCCCTGGCTGGGTCCGTCGAGCAGGTCACTCTCTCGTCACCTGTCGCTCTGCTCCCCTCTCTCCTTTCTCCTTTCATCCTTCCTCATTCACTTCTTACGGCCAGCAGTCTCTCTAGTTTCTGGCTTCACTGTCCGAGTTTTCTCTCCACAGACAAAGAGCCATGTATCCCTTTTCCTTCCTTTTTTGAGACAGAGGACAGCATGCTACACATACTTGGGAGTGGCGGGAGGGGTTCACATAATGTGCACCCTGGAAATCACTCCATACCTGTTTTAGTGTTAGTAGCGCACAGTGTCCCACTCTGTGGCTGTCCTACAGTGTCCTATACATTCTCCTGTGTATAACCATTTAGATATTTCCCAGGGTTCTGTAACTGTAAGCTGCAATAAACAACCCGATATATGTACATATTTTCCTGCTTTTGAGGGCATATCTTCAGGGTAGGCTCCCAGAAGTGGCACTGCTGGGTCAAAAGCTAAGGCCAAGCTGGGCATGGTGGCATAAGCCCCTAATTCCAACACTTGGGAGACTGAGGCAAGAGGATCACTGAGGCCAGCCTGGACTGTAGCGAGATTCTCAAAATAAAACAAACAAAAAAAAATGCTAAATGCTAAATGCAATTTTCTTAGATGTTGCAAACACTCCTCCAGAAAGCCAGTAGCAATTTGCATTTCTACAGCCAATATATACCAGGTCCCGTTTCATTACAGCCTCACACTAGGTGAGCTGTCATGTTTTGTTTTGTTCTGTCAGTCTGGTAGGTAATACATTGTACCTCTCTGTAGTTTTAGTTTAAATTTCTTTTTTTTTTTTAATTTTTTTTTTTTTTGTCTTTTTCATTTTTATTGGTACCAGGGATCAAACTCATGACTGCCTGCTTACAAGGCAGGCGCTTATGACGCTGAGCTAAATCCCCAGCCCCAAGTTTAAATTTCTATAAGTATGAGTGAGTCATATTGGGGGTTAGAAAAAAGAAACAAATCAACTATAAAAGAAAGTCCATCAAAATCATGGCAGACTTCTCAACATAAGCCTATAAATCAAGGAGAATGAAGTATTTCAAGTCCTCAAAGAAAACAACCTTCAACTCATATTGATGTAACCCAGCAAAATCATCCTTAAAAGTCAATGGAGATCCAGGCAGGATGGCACATGCCTGTAATCTCCACTTGGGAGGCTGAGGTGGTGGAGGGGCTCACTATGAGTTCAAGCTTTGGGCTTTGAGTTCAAGGGCAGCCAGGAATATACAGTGATTCAAAAACAAACAAACAAAAAAATCAATGGAGAAATAAGATACTTTCATGACAAAAAAAATTTTGAAGAAATTCATGACCAAACCAGCTCTCCAAAATTTTCTGAAGGATATTTTAGAAACAGATAATAAAGACTAGAATTTCAAGAACACAATACAAAGAGTCCATCAGGCAAGGCAAGCAGTTACACAGAGGGGAAACACAGGAAAACAAAGACAGGAAAATAATATGACAAGAATAAATCACAATACATATCAGTTATAACCATGAATGTAAATGGTCTCAATTTCACCAACCAAAAGAAACAGACCAGCAGAATGGATCAAGAAACAAGATCCAACAATATGCTGCATATAAGAAACTAAATATCTAATTCGAAAAGAAATTCACAGACTGAAAATCAATGAATGGAAAACAATACTTCATGGGACATGAAACCGGAAAGATCAGGGGTAACTATTCTATTTTCAGACAAAAGTAAACATCAAGCCAAGACTGATCAAGAGAGACAAAGAAGGTCCCTACATGACTGCCAAGTAAAAACTCCAAGAGGAAGAGGTAACAATCATAAATATTTATGCACCAAATACTGGCACACACAACTTTATTAAGCAAATTTTTTTGGAGGGGGGATTTTTTTTTTTTTTTTTATCGGTACCAGGGATTGAACTCACGACCGCCTGCTTGCAAGGCAGGTGCTTATGCCGCTGAGCTAAACCCCCGGCCCCCATTAAGCAAATATTAAGGGACATAAAAACTCAGATGAGCACTAACAATTGCAAAAAGGCTCAAGACCGTACTGTCACAAATAGATCAACCAGATAAAAAGTCAGCAAAGAAATATCAGAATTGAACCAAACGTTTGTGAACAAATGGACTTAAGTAGATGTCTGCAGAGTGTTCCATCCCACAACATCAGAATACATATTCTTCTCAGTTGAGCATGGTACGTTTTCCAAAATAGAGCACATATTATCCCTCAGAACTTGCTTAGTAAATGGAAGGGAACTGAAATTATCCCACGCATATTATGTGACCACAGTGCAGTGAAATCAAAGGGACAACAAAAACTATATAAATACGTGGAATTTAAATACCTTCCTGAGCAACCAGTGGTCACCACTGAAGAAACTGAAGACAGGAAACAGTTCCTACAGTCAAACAGCAATGCCAGTACCCATACAGAGCTTACAGACGCCGTGGAACAGCCCTCTGAGGGAATTCACAGCAGTGAGTGCGCACACCAGAAAACATAGTGACAGCAAAGAAGCAACCCGACCTTGAATCTCCTACTGCTACAGAAAGAAGAACCAGGGAGGAAATTATAGAGATCAGAGCAGAAATTAATGTAATTGCGAGTAAGAAAACAGTACAAAGAATCAGTGAGTCAAAGAATTGGTTCTTTATTTTTTTTTTTTTTTTTTTGTCTTTTTCCTTTTTATCGGTACCGGGGATCGAACTCACGACTGCCTGCTTACAAGGCAGGCACTTATGCCGCTGAGCTAAATCCCCAGCCCCTAAAGAGTTGGTTCTTTAAAAGAGTAAATAAAATGACAAACTCTTAATAAATCTTTTTAAAAAAAGAAAGAATGAAAGAAATCACTCAAATCCATGCAATTAGGAATGAAAAGGGCAAATCCACAACAGATCATCCAGAATATCATCAATACCAAGTTTAAGAATCTGTATTCAAATAAGATGGAAAACACAGAAGAAATGGACAGATCCTTAGATGCATATGAATTATAAAACTTGAATCCTGGGGTTGGGGATTTGGCTCAGTGGTAGAACACTTGCCTAGCAAGCTGGAAGCCCTGGGTTCGATCCTCAGAAAAAAAAAAAAAAAACTTGAATCCTTAGGACTCTGGGAAGCCAAGCCAGCACCTCCTCTCCCTGGTAAGCGGCGGTAGTATAGCCCACTGCAGCCCTTCCAGGGGGAGAACTAGCAGTGTTTCCTGAGAGCCACACCATGTTGGAACTTAGGACTCTGGGAAGCCAAGTAAGCACCTCCCCTCCCTGGTAATCGGTGGCAGTGTGGCAGACTGCAGCCCTTCCAGGGGGAGAACTAGCAGCAGCTCCTGAGATCCGCACCATGTTGGAACTTAGGATGCTGTGAAACCAAACAACCAGCCTGCCTCCCTGCTAAGCAATAGTGAACCTACTGATTGATGCACGGCCTAGAGTCAAATATCCCACTCCCCCTACCCTCCTTCTCCCCCCCCTCCCCGCCCATTAGCAAATGGAAACCAGAAATCTGAGCATCTCCTGGGAGGTTGACCATAGCAAATAAGGGGGACTTCCTTCTACCATTTCTTTGAAGGCAAATACTTTTATTACTGTTTTGCTCTTTTCTGATTAATGGTACTGCTCTATTCAATATTCGGTTTTGATAAGTTCTATAGTGTTCTATATTTCATCTCATTTTGATATACAGGATTGAAAGAACAACTATTATAAAGATACCAAAATATACTGTGACACCTATTACTGTTATCAGGGTAACCTGCTGTGAAGTTCTGTACCAATTTCACTGTATGATCTTAGTTGGCTTTATTCTGACTTGTTCTGTTGTATACTTTCAAAAAAAAAAAACTTGAATCAAGAAAATATAAAAATTCTAAATAATCAATATCAGCCAATGAATTTGAAGATGTAATAAAAAACTTAGCAACAAAAGTCTAGGTCCTGAGGCTGGGGACACAGCTCAGAGAGGCAAACGTGCCTGCCTGGCAAGCGCAAGGTCCTGAGTTCAATTCCCAGTACCAAAAAAAAAAAATGCAAGGTTCCGATGGATTCACTGCTGAATTCTACAAGAAATTTAGAGAAGACCTTAGGCCACTACTCCTCAGACTCTTTAATGAAAATAAGAGAACATCTCAGGAAGGGAAAGCAGCAGGGAGATGGTCACACTTCAGGACTTTGGGCAAGTCACAAAAGAAGCACAAGAGAAGACGGTCTCACAACCGCAAGGCTGTGGGCAGAGGGCTCGTGAACCTGTCCAGGCACACAATCACCATAAAAACAAAGAAGAAGAAAATCGCTTCACTTTCATCTTTCCTAATATATTTATAACAGACGCTCTTCACCTTCCAATGGGTTATTACCCAATGTTCTCACTCTGAAATCGAAGTGTAATACAGCACAGTATCCAACATACTTGATGCGCTGCATAGCCTGCTTATCAGCAGGGCCCCCTGGAGAGTCTCAGTCGCTTTTCTGGCCATCAGGCGGCCGGCTGAACCCTGTGGCTCACTGCCCTACATTTCTAGAGAGCGTCACAGCATATGGATCCCACGGAAAGAGCAGAAGTCAAGATCCAGAGTTTAACCAGGTCTGCTGGCCCACGTCTGTTACCCAGCACTCGGGGGACTGAGCCAGGAAATCACAAGTTTGCGGCCAGCCTGGGCCACACAGTGAGTTGATGCACGGAGAGATCTTGTCTCAAAAAGACGAACAAAATAAAGTGCATGTGCGTTGCCTTTGCACAGTCACAAAGTCAAAATTTTAAGTTGAAACACCATAAATCAAGAACCATTTGTACTTTAATACTAAGCAACCATCACATTCAAAATGCGGCTTACATTCTTCAGGCAGGACAGAAGAGTAATTCCCAAGATTTAACAACTGACTGGTAAACGTTGATTGCAGCACTGTGTCACCAACCCACGGATCCTCACGGACGGTAACATCTGGAGAGGAAAAACAGTTCTGATCATGCCAGAAAACCTTCTCATCATGGTTAAGTTAGTGATCGCTTAGCAAAATCTTAGATTCCCCGCGTGCCGTGTTGAAATGTCAGTGGAGCTCACTGCTCTGCTGAGGCAGCGTTCAGCTCTGCACCACAGACTGCTGACAACAGGAACCTGACCAGGTAAATCCCGATAAAGCCACTTGAGAGAATGCCTGGGAGGCTGTCACCCAGCCGTTAACGGCTGCGTAGACGCTGACCGCTGACCGTGTGCGGGGCTAAGCGTCAATCCTGCACTCACCTGCTCTACAGACTGCCTGACAATCCTGGAATCCGTGGTCCTCATTCCCCCTCAAGATTCGGCAGGACCCTTCTCCTGCACTCAAACACTGTAACTAAGCCTCTGAGGCCAACCAATTCTTTCTCCTCTTCCGTACTCCTTCATGTGTGGCTTAGTCAACTTCCTGCTAATGCTAAGATACCGTGTGTTAACTGTAAGTCAGCAAAGAACACCTAACAGATGCTAGATGTGTTCTGTTAGATAAAAAAGACAATGTTCCTTATTATTCTATAGTATGAATAAGATTCTGGAGGCTGGATGAAATCACCACTTTGCCACTTCCAACATGTATGACGGTGTACAAGTTATTTTTCTGGGCCTCAATTTCCTCAACTGAAAAACTGGGATAATAAATAGTATTTTTCTCATACAGCTGTTGTAATGAGACAAACATACACTGCTTAAAATATGGTCTGATAGGAAGTGATCTCCCAACCATTAGCTGTGTGTCTGTCTCTAACTATGTATAGATACATGTGATAGATGTAACAAATGTGATATGTATATATCACTTTTTTTTCTGAGACAGAGTCTTGCCTTGTAGCTCAGGTTGATCTAGAAGTCACCATGTAGCCCTGGCTGGCCTTGAACTACAAGCACTTCTCCTGGCTCAGCCTGCCAAAGTGCTGGGATTACAGGTGTGAGCTACCACATCTGTCTCTACAGAACACATCTGAAGAAGCACAAAGAAAATAATTTAAAGATAGTATTCCAAACTCCATCAGTGGTTATATAAAATTGATAATTCCAGGAGCTTTTCTCTTTCCCATATTTCAAAATGTGATTAATAAGCTAGGCATGGTGGCTCACACCTGTAATCCCAGCACTTAGGAGGCTGAGGCACGAGGATCACTGTGAGTTCGAGACCAGCCTGAGCTACAAAGTGAGGTCAAGGCCAGCCTGAACTGCACAGTGAGACTCTGTAAAAAAAGTGAAATTTGATTAATATAATTTTAATAATAAAAAATCAATGAAAACCTCTACTAGTTCCTTTAGTAAGAAGGTAATTTAAGAAAAAAACAGAGACAAGAGGGATGAGCTTCCATCTGCCTAGAGAAGACCTACAGCAAGGTCCACCGTGAATGGCCAGGGCCAAAGGACAGCAGTAAAATGACCATGGCCTGGGTGCCAGGCCTCTCTTTATAGTCTGGGAATCCTGATTCCCAGAATTATTAGCATTATTAGAGTTAAGTCAGCAGAAAGGTCCTTTCCTTCTAAGGCTGCTCCCGTAGTTAAAGGGCTAAAGCTCACACACACAGAGGAGCTCCCTCTGCGATGCACGGCGAGCAGTTCCCGGTGAAGCACGGAGCGGAGACCCGGAGCAGGATGGTTACCAGGCAGAGGAATGGGACGGTGCTACAGCCCCCGTAGGACAGTCAGAGACCCGGGAATGCGCAGAGCAGGACACCAGGCAGCAGAGCGCGGAGGGCCCCCGTGCAGCTGTCAGGAGGGCCCAGCCTGGGTGGGCCAGCGGAGGCACCTGGGAGTCCTCAAAGGTTGAAGGTGGCAGGAGGACGGAGAGCCACGTTCTACGAGGAAAACTGCCGCGATCCCACAAGCAGCTCACCTGTGAGGAAAACGATGTCTCCGGGAAACACAGTGAGTGCCCAGAACGCCGTGGTCCGCCACAGCACCACCTGCTTCTTCATTTCAGATTGGTCGACGACTGTAACTGTTGCTAGGGGCACTGTGGAGCCAGCATTTGGTCCAGATTTTACGTTTACCTCTTTTACGTGGCATGGAGTCAGCACCATAACTAGGCAATTATACTTGTGGCTTCTAGAATCACAACGTTTGATTAAGGACGGTTTTTTAATACCCTTAAATTCAGGCATGACCCTCTGGCACTCTGCTCTGGCAGAATCTCTTGCCTTGGAACACGGTTTCATTTTCTGAGAGATGGGGGTGACTTCAGGGAGAGCCTCAGAGAGGCCTGAGTTAGGGGTGGAGGGCGTGCTCCTCCCCGCAGGAGTTCTGCGGATGGCGTCTGGCTGGGAGCACAGAATCCCTGAGCTACACAACTCAATCCGTATCTCACTTGCCGCCAGCCCCTCTTCGCAATCGAACAGTTCTTGAGACCCTGCGCCTCCTTTCAGACCTTTTCCAGGGTCCCCACGGATGTGGCTACTCTCTGTTTCAGAGCGGGCAGGACTGAAAAGTTCCAGGGAATGTGCTTGGGCTTGTGCACTTTCATCTCCTTCTGCAAACTCTCCATTAGGCTGAACCAGACTATCCTCGGCCATCCCTCCCTCCGCAGGCCCTGCCCTTGGTGCAGCCTCCACGCTCACAGACCCTGCATTTCTGCACTTCTGCCTTTGCGCCTGCCTTTGAGCTAAGAAAGCGAGCTGGCTGCAGGTCATGACGCTGAGAAATTCAGTGTCCGCCGAGATCCCGGCCCTCCTCCCAGCTCCCGCAGGCCCCGGCTCCTCCAGCGCAGCAGAGGAGAGCGATTCCGGGTGCGGGCTCTGCTCTTCCCGGAATTCTGCCGGCACACACTTTGTCTCTACAGCTGCAGGTCCTGGACTGCTGTGTCCAGCGCTAGAGGCCACATCCGGCCCAGCTGCACATCTGAGGCCTAAGTGACAGGACTCCGCCTGAACATTTTGATCCCGGGTGTCTGACCCATTTTCAGGCCGTCCTCCTGTGATGTTACTTTCACACTGAAGCTGTTGATGTTCCCTTTCATTAGGGGAACGCTGGGCTCCGTCCTTTGGTCCCCTGATTTGCACACTAGAGCAGGGCACAGCACTCAGGCCTGAGGAGAGACCCTTCTGGGCTTCTCCGTGCTGTGTTTCAGAAGCAGAATGCAGAAAGCCGGGCCTCCTCTGAACAGAGCTCCCAGGACCCGGAGCGCCCGCCCCCTTAGGGCCACCATGCTCCTTCAGAGTCCCGGGCGGGTGGCTTTCCTCCGGCACAGCCAAAGCGCGCCCATCACACAGCAGGTGCATCTTCTCCCAGCGGTCAGCCGTGGACGTTAAAGAAGCTGCTCCCTGGAACCCTGTCATTTTCAGGGGACAAACCGGAGCACCCCAAAAAATGTGGACTTGGGATCTTCCACTCATAATTTCTGATAAAAATGAAAAATCTCAAATTAGCTTTTTGTTAGATTTTAAATTTTTTTATTAACTTAATAAGGAACCAAAAGAACATGTAATACAAACTATGAATCAAAAGCATAAAAGGTGGTTTACTTTGGTATGGCATTTAATTAAAGCACTTATAAGTGCACAAGAAATCATGAAGGTAATCAATACAGTCACAAAAATATCTTCACCTGGAGACTCTTTCAGAGAAATAAACCTAAGGGTACTAGCACCAAATAGATAAATTTTGAGTACACTCATTTCTTGGGTTGCAAAATCTTGCCCCTTAGATCACAAGTAAAAAGTAAACACCAAAAAAAATAATAAACACCAACTAAAAATAATAAATCATGAGTTAAACACATAGGAGAAAGCATTCATGTAATAGACTGCAGTCACCATGAAATTACCTGTTTTCTTTATTCCTAGATGATCTCCGTGGGTCTTGGTCCTGCTTCCTTGACGGGGAACTCAATTCCCAAAGCCCAAGCAGAACAGGAACTTGAAGTGGAGAACGGAACAAAGGAGGGGCCGCCGAGGGACTGAATTTCTGTTTCACGGCGGCCCATTTGCACAGCTCTTGTGTTTGTGTCTTTTCATCTTTTCCACAGTACAAACAGATTGACAATAATTTTTGTAGTACCTGTAAGGATATCTTTTTAAAAGTCTTTTAAAAAACTGGAAACTTCATTTACATTTTTTCACTATGACAGGTGATACAAGTGAATCAAAATGACCATCATCTCACTGAGATGCACAGGAAATGAACTGTTTGCTGCCGACAGTAAATAGGGTCTTATTAAAGAGACCTTTCCCTAAAATTCACTGAAACGTTTTTACAGTGCTAGCAAACAAAAGACAGACAAGGTCCTTGGCCTGGAGAACTAGTCACTTGGTTTAAAAAAAAATAGTGAAAGCCAGGCAGCAGAGCACGCCTGGAAGCCCGGGTCTCGGGAGACCGAGTGAGGCGGGGGGCAGCAGCAAGGTCGGGGCCAGCCTGGGCTACACAGTCAGTGCTTGTTCCAGGGAAAAAAATGGAACATAATGGACATCAGAGGTGCGGTCAAACTGTACAATGAATGCTTAAGTTTTTAAAATTTTCCTACAGTAAAAAACATATTGCCATTAACACCCTCAAAATACACCTGCCAGCTTCAAACACGCCTGTGCTGTGCTTCTTGCCAGGTTTTGAAGCAGTACTGGGAGTGCTCTTCGGGTATGATGGACACGGTGGTGACCACTGCTGCCAAGTGCCACACGATGGACAGAAGGGCTCGAAACACAGGGCAGCGCGCTCTCCACCACCCTGGGCCTGGCACCACGAGACCTCTGGCTTCTCCCCAGTGTCAAAATGATGGAGAAAGGTAACATTTCTGAAACAATTCAGGACATCGGGGCAGTCAGATGCCCACCTAAAGATATCCACTAGCCATGCGGGCAGTGCACACCTGTGACCCCGGCACTCGGGATGACAAGGAATGCTGCTGTGAGTCCAAGGCCAGGGGACTCGGCCTGAACTCCGAAGGGGCCCTGGGACTCACATGGAAAAAAACAAAAAACATGGAAGAGGATCTGCAGAACCACTTCAGAAAGTGGCAAGAACAGGATACATGGGCTAGGGATTTAGCTCAGCGGCATAAGCGTCTGCCTTGGAAGCAGGCAGTCGTGAGTTCGATCCCCGGTACTGATAAAAAGGAAAAAGACCAAAAAAAAAAAAAAAGAAAAGAAAAAAGAACAGGGTACGTGTGCTCAAAAACATTAACTGTATTTTCTATCATACCACACAGACTAACACCTTCAAAATAATGCAGAACACAACATAAGCTGTGAACAGGAAATGACAATCTGGTAGGGAAGATGCTTCCGTGGGAGACAGGCATTGTGGCTACATGCATTTTTAGGTTTGCTTTGCTTGGTTTCCACGGTACTGCGGACTGAACCCAGGCCTCACCCACCCAAGGAAGTACTCTGCCACTGCGCCACATCCCAGCCCTGCTGCAAACCCTCAACAAGACATGAGACCTGTGAAGGTGGACGGTTGGGAAAGGCCAGTTTCGTTTCAAATTCATTACCGCTAGCCAGAAAGCAGCTCCTGGCATTCAGGTCCTCCCAAGCACTCACCCCTCAAGGTAAGTCCTGACACCTTTTCACCCCGAAAATCCCCAGCCGCAGGCACAGCAGGCAACAATTCTGCTCCAGAGCTCTCCCAGCCCATCTCCAGTGTCTTCAGCTTCCCAGCCTCTGCAGCATCTGACACCACCGAGCCTCCTCTCCACACTGTCTCCCTCTGCCCTTACGGGTGTCAAATGCCCTGATGCTCACCCCCTTCCGACCACCCGCCAGTTGCTGCCTCTCAGCCTCCTTTGCTAGCTTCTTGCTCGAGGGCAGAGGGCTCGGGGCCTTCCCTGCACTCCCTCCCTGTGGGATTCCTTCAGACTGAATCCAAGTACACTAGGTGCTAGTGTGACTGCATGTCTGTCTGCACCGTAAGCTCCCTCTGAACGCCTGTGCCTTGTCCAACCGCTGCCCCAGCACCTCCACCAGCCGTCCCACACAGAGCAGTTAGCACAGCAGGCCTCCAACTGTCCCCCTGACAAAGCCTGCCAATTACACTGGGCTGTGGCTGGAGTCCTCGAATTTCAGTTTCAGGAAGTTTACAACCATTTCTTCATCAGGAGGGCTCATGGTGCCAAAAGTGTTCATGTGAACAGTGCAGTTGGTGCTCACTGCATTCTTTCTAGAAGTCTTGGTGGAATTTGTTTCTGAATTGTGGCATGTGCTAGACCAAGGAGGCCGTGTGACCAGGTCTCGGAGGAGAAACAGCCGATTCCAGGGCTGAGGCAGGCAGTGTGTGAGATGAACCTCACACACCGCATCAGACAAGAGGCAAGAAAACCCTTTTTAAAAAACACTATTAAGATTGTATCAAAAGAAATCAGGAGTCACTTGAAGATGGTCCCGCAGAACAAAGTCGGGGAATTCAAGCATCATTAAGAACGATACGTGTGATGGATTAGATTCTATAAATACAGTTCAGTAAATCTATTAGTAAGGAAATACAGTAAAGCAAGCTCAACAGCCACCTTTGGAAGAAAGTCAGAGACTAATCTCTTTTATCTTACTTTGTTTTTTGGTGGGGTCTAATTGTTTTTAAAGCTGACAACTGAAGAAAACGTGTCGTTTCTATACCACAGAATCTCAAGAAAGAGGAACAGCGTGATGAGTGAAACCTCTACGGAGGTATTCGGCTAACAACCAAGAAGGAACGAGACACCACCACGGAGCAGCTTCAGGGGATAAGCGGGTCTTTCAGGAAGTGATCACCAAAGACAGGCACGGTAAGAGGTGCAGGAGGCCTGGCAATGACAGTGTGAATTTGAACAAACAAATGGAAAGGTGTTACAGTTACAAACACAGAAACTGTATCTGAGTTTTGATAACATGAAGAGATTATTATTTCTTAGCGGGATGCTGTTTGTTTGTGCTTTTTTTTTTGAACAAGGTCCTACTATGTAGCTCAGCCTGGCCTTAAACTCATAGCAATTCTCCTGAGGCTCCAGGTGCTAGCTGGGATTCAGGCGGGTGCCACCACACCTGGCAGGGCGCAGTCTCTGAGCTGTTGGAAAGAGCCGAAGTGCTGCCCACACATGCGAAGTGTTCGCACACAGAATGCTGGGACAGCCCAGGCCTCCTCAGCTCCTGGAGGGGGGTGACGAGAGACAGGGCTGCGCTAATCACTTCCGTGTATGCTTCAAAAGCTCTGAAACGCACCTTTTTGTTTCTTTGAGGGGTGGATTACGAGAAGTCTTTTGTTTCTTATGAAGAAAACACCGTTTCCTACCCACGGAAATGGGAAGAGTAAACAGCGTGGATGCTCAAGTCCCAGGGCTGCTCAGGCTGTAGAGGACATGGCAAACCACTAAGAACGATTTGGCAAACGGTAAAACCGGGGATACACACAGCAGGCAGCACAGCAGCGGCGCTCCCAGGTTCCCGCTGGTGAGCTCATGGGCACACACACACACAGGAGGAAACAGGTACAAGAGCCATCACGGGAGACGTCAAGAGCAAGAATGTTCACGTGGAACATTTCCATTCCTAACTTACACTCTGCAAGGTATTTGCCAACATACAAAGAACGCCTAGGTCTAGGTGGTGACAGTTTTGTATTACCATTTGGTTACAGAAGGTGACCACAGAATAAGAACTACCTTTGAAAGCACCAGCCGGGTAGCTTCTTGCTCCCAGGGCTGTGATGCTAAATGAAGTCCGACCGCAGGCTCTGACGGAGCTTCCACTTCTAAGCAGGCACAGTCACTCTGAAGCACAATGGTCTAATTGGATTGGACCAGCGCAGACTGTCAGCCTCTGTCAGAGTCTACACGAGCCTTGCGGTTTAGCCTCCCAACGGTATGCCCGGTATGGAGGGTACCAGGTCATCCTGTTATGCCAAGCATGGTTCCCTGGAGAAACGAGATAAAAGCAAGAAATTAGGAACAACCTAAAAGCCCACAAAGAAGAGGACAGATAAAGCACAAAATATTCTAAGGAGAATACTATATGGCAGCAAAAATAAGTGAACAAGAACTACATGTCAACATAAACGCATCTTACAAATGTAACTTCAAATGAGAAAGTACAGCACTAAGTAGAGGTGACTTAGGCCCGGTGTGGTGGCACACGCCTGTCATGCCAGTACTCAGGAGGCTGAGGCAGGAGGACTGCTGTGAGTTTGAGACAAAGTTTGAGCTGGCTACTAAGTGAACTCAAGGCCAGCCTGAACTGCATAGTGAGACCCTGTCTCAAACAGACAAAAATGTGACTTAGGTTACCAATATATTGAATTTTCAAATACGCAAGAGAATAAAACAACTAATTTACAACTGTAATTCCCTCTGGGAGGGAGGAATGAGGGTGTGACAGATAAAAGGAGAAGGAGAGCTTCAGCCTACGCAGGTGTTTCAGTGGAGTGCGTGTAGTTACACAGACACCCTTATATTGTTCAGAATATCTTATGACGGGCTGCAGCCGCCCCAGGGGGAGAACCACCAGGGTCTCCTGAGATCTGTGCCATGCTGGAACTTAGGACCTGGGAAGCCAAGCAACAGCTCGCCTCCCTGCTAAGCAGTAGTGAGCCTACCTGTGCACGGGCTGAGAGTCAAGCATCCCACTTCCCCTGCCCCCTTTAGCAAATGGGAACCAGAGATCTGAGCATCTCTTGGGAGGTTGACCATATGCAATATAGCAAGTAAGGGGGACTTCCTTCTACCATCTTTTTGAAGGCAAATATTTTTACTACCGTTTTGCTTTATTCTAATTAATGGCACTGTTCTATTCAATATTCTGTTTTGTTAAGTTCTATAATGTTTTGTACTTCATTTTATTTTGCTATATGTGATTGAAAGAGCAACTATTATGAAGATAATGAGATATACTGTGATTCCTATTACTGTTATCCCGGTAACTGCTGTGAAGTTCTGTACCAATTTCACTACACTGTCTAAATTGAATTTGTTCTGTCTTGTTCTGTTGTATTTTACTACCTTCAAAATAGTATTAAAAAATAAAAATAAAAGAATATCTTATGACATTAAAAGTCCTAGAGGAAAAAATGCTCTGAAGTAAGATTATGGATGTCTTTCTAAAAAGATTGCTATTTTAAAAGTTTTACTGCAATGAGTAATGATGTATATAATTTTCATAATATCAACCTTTTTTTGCTTTGTAATTCAGGCTTTTCTTTCACAATCCTCAAGTCGAAAATAATGATCCACCAGTTATATAACAATGACCCTATATGTCACATTTCAAAACAGGATTTTAGAACAATGACAGCAGCTGTTAAAGTGCTAGCCACAGAAATAAATACACCGCAATTTCAAACAGCTTATAAAACTGAATTATTGCTAAGGAGACAAAATTATAGTAATTTTAGGTGGCAAATTATGATTCATTGAAAATCAAACAACTGAACATTATAACTATCCCAAGCCCCACTCATTTAATTCTTACAAAAACATCCTAGAAACATGCGTAAGGAATAACGGGGTATATCAGACCTGATTTGTTTTATTCTGTATGTGAGATCTGTCACTAGGAGGTCCCAAACAGCATAGCAAAAACCTCCAAGTTCAAACTAGGTTTCAAAACTAAGAGCCCGGGCGTGGTGGCTCACGCCTGTAGGCTGCGGCAAGAGGGTCCCTGTGAGTTCAAGCCCAGCCTGGGCTACAAAGTGAACTGCAGAGTGAGACCCTGTCTCAAAAAGACACACACACACACACACACACAAATAAAAAATAAAAGTCCTAAGAAGAGGGAGGAAAACATTATTCTGATGTATCAGTGAGAATATTCAGATCTAAGCAAATCACGTGCGTAACCTTACCAATGATAACAAATTCTCTCTGAAACCTTTGGGTTTCTGCGGTGGTCTCTTGCCAGTAGCCTCAACTTTTCAAAAATGAAACAAAAATAAAGAAATGTCTTCTGTGTTGTCACTTTGTTCCCACTTCTCACTTATTCTTCACTTAAATATGGTTTCTGTTCCAGGGCTGAGGATTAGCTCAGAGGCTCACCCGCTTGCCTGGTAAGTGCAAGCTCATGAGTTTGATTCCTGGTACAAACAGTTTCTATTCTGACAATTCCGCTCTGATACTTCCTTCCACTCTGGAAACGAGGGCCCTTCTAACAGCCAGATTAACAGCTGGTTCTCAGTCTCTGTCTACTGCCACTGAAACTATCAATCCCTCTTTCCCCAAACGTCCTACTTTTTAATTCCATGAGGCCACCAAATGAGAGTTATTTTGTGCTTTTAAAGATGGACAGACATGCATGGGTCTATTTGTCCAGTCATTCGCCAGCATATGCTGAATGCCACCTTCTGGGCACCAGGCGGGGCACTGAGAACCCACCGCTAACCAGCAGCATCCTCACTTTCTGGCCTGGTGGAGAGCTGATGGGAGAATGATCCCACAGCCATGTGAGCAACGTGGAATTAAGAGCTGGGGAGATCACTGGGAACACAGCCAATGTGGGAGTGCGCACTGCACTTTGCAGAGGCCCTCAGAACCAGCAAAGTGCTCACACTCCATTCATTGAAGTCATTGCTGCCAGGCACAGTGGCCACACCTGTAACCCGGCACTCAGGAGGCTGAGAGAGGAGGAGCACATCGAGTTCAGGGCCATAGGCTACAGAGCGAGTTCCAGGCCAGTCTGAACTACACAGCAAGGCCCTGTCTCAAAAATGAACGAACGAAACAATTACTAATGGTGCTGAATGGTCAGGAGAGAAGGGCACACCGCAGCCTGGGAGTCACCCGTGCTCCCTGCCCCTACGTGGGCTGAGTGCCACCGGCCTGGCTTACCCAGAGGACAGCCTGCTGGAGGTCATTCCGAGACACCCAGAGAGGCACCGATGTGCACTGCGCCTGTGTCCACCTATCGTTTGTTCCCAGGGTCCTGGCACCTGGCTTTAAGGACAGTAAGGAGGCTCAGATAGCCCAGCACACTCGCAGTGCCGGCCCACTCCGAGCCGGGCACCCTGCAGAGCACCCTCCTGCTAACCCGTCCCTTCCCTGCCGTGGCCTCTGCCTCTCCCTCCCTGAGCCCCTCTTCACCGGGCGCATCGCGTCACCGCGGGACCCTCTGTCCAGGCCCATTCTTTACTGTGCCCACATCCCAAGACGCTCTGCAACCTCACTGGCCTGCTCACCCCAGGGCTCCCTGCCTCACCGCATCTGCCGGTGGCCAGCAGAAATCAAAGACAAGCGCCGAATGCCCTGCCGGTTTTCCAGTCAGGGACTGATGGTGGAGCAGCCCGGGGCAGCACAGAGTGGCCTCAAGAGTGCAGAGACATCTCCCAAGATGCCCGAGACGGATCAAAACGCTGTGAAGCCCAGGCTTCGGGAAGGTAGCACTATTGCAGTCTGCCTTTGCTGTGTCCCTCTATGAACGCGGGCTCCTGCCTTCTAAGCTACCTTCAAAAGAGTAAACCGGGGTTTTGTTTTGCTTAGTTTGGGCTTGTCCTTCCAGTCAAGGTCTCACTGTGTGGTCCAGGCTACACTTGAGCTTTCTACATAATTCTGGCTGGTTCCTAACTCAGTAATTCTCCTGCCTCAGCCTCCGAGTGGTGGGATTACAAGGGTGTGTCACCGTGCCTGGCTTAATAATGAGTAATTAAAACAAAACATAACAACCAAACCTTCCTAACAAGGCTGCTGCTCCTCAGCCCTGCAATTTATAGGAGTTGTGCGTATGTGAGTCGGGGTTCAGAGCGTGATGAGGACAAGGAGAACCACGTTGTTCTTAGCAAAATCACACAGAGGAGTTAAGCCACAGACCACAGGTGAGTCTCAGAGACTCTAGGGTATGTCCTGGGTGCGCACAGAGGGTAAAGCTCATGGAGATAGCAGCTAAGCTTGCAAGCATCTGTCCATCACCCCAGTTAATAATTACACAATTTCCCAACCTGCAGAAGCTGCTTCAGTGAGAAAGACCAACAGACCCACAGGCCTTCACCTTTAGAGCGGCCAGAGTTTGAAGAACGGGTCAAAGAGTTATAAGCAGGGCGAACTTGTCCCATCGGGTTCTGTCTGTGCCGAACACTGCAGCTAACACATGCTTGTCACAAAATACACGGCTGGAGGGGGCTTTCTGCACCTCCTCCCCGCCCCGCGCTCACTGCTCTGCGGGGCTGCAGCCAGCTCGGCCCCTTCGCCCTCAGTTCCCCCAGACAGCCTCGAATGAGGAAACGCGGACCGTGACTGGGAGCATAGGTTCAGTTGGGAACGGACAGGCGTGGCGTGGAAGCCCACTCTGAGGCTTACTGAAGATGCACACTGGCGGTGGGGAGCCGTCACTGCCACATGCTTCCCATTTCTGTGTGCACTTGAGAACATCCTTAGGAAGAAACTTCTTTATCCGTCAAATGAAGTTTTCCTGTGAACTGCAAGTGACACAGTTCCTGTCTCACAGTGCACTAATTATTTAAGAAATGCTAGCTTTTTACGGTCACAGCTAGGAAACCCAGCATACACACAGCTGGTGACATAAACAACTCACATGTCCTTCGTGGTTTCGTTTCTATGTGTATTTTATCATTTTAATAATAAAGTTGAAACAACTGGGGCTGGGGATTTAGCTCAGCGGCATAAGCGCCTGCCTTGCAAGCAGGCAGTCGTGAGTTCGATCCCTGGTACCGATAAAAACGAAAAAGACAAAAAAAAAAAAAAGTTGAAACAATTTTGTATTCTGCTTCAATCTGTCCATGGCCACTTTTATATGCTAATTTGTAAGGTCCTAATCATTTTTATTCTATTCTATCTTATTTTTTGAGACAGGGTCTCACTATGTAGTTCATATTGGCCTTGAACTCATTATGTAATGCAGGCTGGCCTCTAGCTCAGCCTCCTGATTATAGGTATGTCCTGCCACACCCACTCAAGGTCCTGATCACTGTAATATT